GCCAATTTATTTCATATCCAAGCACCTACTGTATATTATGTATCAATGCGGTTTCATCTACAAGTAGCGGCTTGCAAATCATATTGATATAATGAGTGTGTTAAAAATGACTCTCAAACTCTCCAAAACGGATTTTGATGGTAGCATCATTTAGGGACAAGTTTCTACATGTTATTTGTGCGTAACGATGCGTACGATCTCAGTCGCATACATAACATAGGTCACAATCTATGATGTCATAAGATAAAGCCCCACAACAGCTTATTGTGATAACATGAGAGTTGTGTTGCTGCCAAAGACGACATTGAAAATCTTTTTTCAGTGAACTATTCTTTGGCTATTGGCAATAAACTGTCGACAAACCAATCAGGTTGAAGTTTGGTGCAAACTTTCATTACTCACGTTACATATTGATTAATCAAGAAAGCATTGCCAGATTATTTTTATAGGATGAGGCCATGTTCGTTGACGAATTGGGATAGTGTGATTACGCTTACAAAACGCCAAAACAGCTATTGATATAAATATGAAAAACGACTTGCAACTATCGTAAAGTAGATGTAACAAAATGTCATGATATGAGCATCATTCAGTGGTGCCGGTGCACGTGGTTAAGAAAGAAATGAAATTAAGAAATCAATGTTAATCTATCGGTAAACGATTCAACTGAAAATGTCATTTTCTATGCAATGGCCATTGTAACAGAAAAACGTGGAAATGCAAATGTACGGTGCCCGTACATTTGAACCCACGTACATTCGAACCCACGACAATTGCACCTGCATACTATTGCACCTATGGAAATTTTTTTGTTTTGCGGATATTTGAACCCATACTAACCCTAAACCATGGGTTTCAGCACCATCATATAGATTCAACCCGCGGATATACACATGGGTTAAATGTATGTGGGTTCAAATGTACGGTCACCGCCATTTACTTGAGAATAACACAATAGTAATGCTGAAATAGGTTTATATACACCAATCCTTGCAACTAAAAACATGAAAATTTGGATGTCGTAAATCAATGATTCTCAAATTTTTGTGTTAAGACGCCTTTGCTCTATGGGCATGCCTCTCTCTGGGCATGCCACACGCCGGGGAAAATAATATGAAAACAAAATGATCGAGACACTGAAAACCAAGTTTGGTAAGCTTTATGGCAGTGGTTGTCCAAACAGCGCCAACATTGATCAATAAAACTTTCATGTGGTACTTAACCTTTCTGGTCGGCATGTATCAGTATTAGTCAATGTAATTCAGTGGCAGTGTTACGAGCGCCAATAATATTTTCCTTTTTACAGTTTTTTTTTTATCATGTTACATCCAAGTAGTTGAACCGCTGGTACGCGAATCGGATTTTTGGCCAAGATGCGAGAAATTATGTTGGTTTGTTATTTTGTGCTGGTGTAACCGGTTTGTTATCGAATATACAAAGCAAAGTTGCTTTATTCTGCGATTGGCCTTCAACTTGGTGTTTGACAAGTATGGTATTGATTGCCTGTTGGTGTCTTGGCCGAGTAATTCGATTCGATCAGTTGTGAAAGCGTATTGTTAATTCGCGCACGTGTCTAAAATCTGCGAGTAGGCTACTTGTTTTGTCCACATCGCCCCCACATAAAAGTGAACATTTTCGTATTGCAATGTTATCGTATTTAGATGTTTTTATATAATTTCGAAGCGTCCCGAGCAGTCAAACACAAAACCACAACAAGATCAAGCATAGTAAATATTTTCCTATTTTACTTTCATGCTCTGTTTTACTTCTGGACAGTTCTGGGATATACCGAATAAAATTTTAAATTTATATATATTTAGAAGCAATCCTAATATTTCCGAAGTACCTTAAACTTCCTTGCAATCTACTAAATTTTATCAAGGGCGTCTTTGTTTCGCCAATGAACCGTTATAATTTTGGTCTAAAATATTTTTATACCATGGTTTTCATACGATGTCATGTGTTTTTAAATATTCTCAGGTTTCCCCGTTTTCCGGCGTATTGCCGGACTTGTTTGTATATTTTTTTGCGGCAATGTTCACCGTCAACGTCCACTTGCAGTCGATATACAAACATTGGTACAGGTAAATTGTGACTGATATACTGATTTTTTGAGATTACTGAGCGTTTCTAGTCGCGGGGTCGCGAGTATTCGTAGGCTTTGAATTTATGAAAATTGGGGTCGTGAAAAAAACGTTTGGGAACCACTGCTTTATGGGACGTGAGGGCTTAGCACAGTGGTTCTCAAACGGGGGCCGAGGACCCCCAAAGAGGGCCACGTAGCAGTTCAAGGGGGGCCACGACACAAGGTTGATAATTGATAATAAAGCGACCTCATTTGCATACTTTCCCTTTAAAATAAAATTTTCCGTTTAGCGTTCACCGCTGTTTCATTTCACCGCTGCCTGAATAGGTTATTTGAAATCGCACAGTGTATTCACTTTCTTGTGCATGAATTGTTTGATCATAATGCAATTTGAAATCTACCAATTAAATAGTTCGCCGGTAGGCCGTCTAACCTGTAGTTTCACTAGACTGAGAGATAACCTTCGCTATCGTATTATAGACGCAAAAATCCATTTGTAAATTCCTGGTGCCCAAAATACGAAAATAAAACGACAATCACGTTGGTTTTGGCCTTACCAAAGTAAATCGATATGACAAAGAATTTGCTCAATGCCTGCATTGCTTGTATGTAAACCACCGTGCTAGTTCAATTTTCGCAACTTATCTGTGTGAATCTTGTTCTTCTGATCTTGTTACCATCAAAAAACAAAATCTAGAAACCGTCTTGATGTTGACAGTGACATTTGTCTGGCTATATCAAAGATGGTGTCTAATATAAGAAACCTAGTCCGACAGTCCCACCAAAGATTCTCCTTGATTGTATACTAAAAAGCTTTCACTTTCTTGTCCGGGGTTGGCTTTTGCATTCCATTAAAACATAATACAATCCAACACGTTTAGTTTTTTGGGGTGGAGGCCAAGAAATTCGTTGTGTTTGGTGTTGTATTAGGTTTTCTTTCGGCACAATTCAAAATATATTCTGGAATTTTTTTTTTATTCTAGAAAAAGGTTCACAGGGTATTCAAAAGAGTAAATTATTTGCTTTCGGTCTAAATTGGACATTTTACTTGTTAAATATATAAATGTGGATTTTGTTGAACATTAATTTCAAAATTAATGAATTAATAAGTTCCACAGTTCGTTAGATGGTGATGCTGACTCGTTGCCAATTTTAAAGGCATATTTTGTTGAATTTATTCGAAGTCCCCATTGTGTACTAGGCTGTGTTCGAGTGCACCCCACCAACGCGGTGGAACTGAAGAGAGATTTTTAGCCAGCACTTTTTTCCTGTTATCCAAGATGAGCTGTTGTGGGGTATTATAACATCATAGATTAGTGTCTATTGTACATTTATCAAGAACTGCGCGCTGCGGCAGTTTTATATTTTTCACCAAGCGTTAATTTGATTATTTTGTGGACAGTTTATTGCCAATAGCCAAAGAATAGTTCTCCCAAAAGAGATTTTCAGCCAGCACATTTTTCGTGTTATCAACGATCGGCTGTTGTGGGGTATTATGACATCATAGATTGGGACCTATTATATAGCAATCGTGTACTACGAAAACTGGTAGTTTTATGTCTTTTTGTGCGCAATCAACATGTAAGTAAAGCTTAATCCTGTATGCTAATACCTTATCGATCACTAGCCGCTTTGGAGTTTCATACGTTTTCTTAATGCGCTAATTATATGAACGACCCGTTATGTGCATGTAATTCGTAGATGCAACCGCATATACATAAGTTGTATATTCTTATGAAATGATCTGGCAGTATTTGTACATCAACTCAATGGTTGTATTTGTATATTGAGTTGGCAATATATGCATATGACTTGGCAGTATTTGTACATCACCTTAATGGCTGTATTTGTATATTGAGTTGTCTATATATGCATATGACTTGACAGTATATGTATATTTGGTTGGCTGAATATGAGTTGGCGGTATATGCATATTCTTAGCAGTATATGTGTGGCACGTTACCAACCCTATCGTATTTTTACGCTCGAGTATTGTAAAATAAGTCCTCGAAATTTAAACTGGTTTATTTCACCATAAAAGGCGTTACCTTCAATACACTGCAAAAACTAAATCCACACCCAACCAAAAAGCAACAAAATCAGCAATATGTGGATCGCATTTCCTCCAAGGTCTGATGGTACATAGCCTACGTGACGCCAATCGTGCAGTATTGGCGTTGTGTCCAGTCCCGAACCAAATCACACCTGCATTTCAAATCCGAATCCCAAAGGCAAAAACAGCTACAGCAAAAAATAGTCATCATTAAAATCGTCATCTAACAGACTGCCCCATCCTAACCCTTCAAAACTTTTCAACTGAATTTGTTTACAGCATTGATATAATATATATATATACTTCAATATATATATATATATATATCCCTACTAACATTATAGAGCAAATGCAATCTTCTATTACATTATAATCACATTTGTTTTGCGTATTTTGTGATGTGACAGTGAAATCCATTCCAGTATTTTACGGATGGCTAAGAAGTGTGAATGAAAAGTGGAATTATGTGCTCTGAGGGATGTCAGCCGCCACTTAACAAAAAATATCAAAATCAATAATGAGAATATGCATTATTCATGTTACTTAACCGTCAATAATATTCGGACATCAGATAGCAAAATATCTCTCGATTAAACAAATATCCGGAAACAGTTATAAATTTCCGGCACGGTGACGAGTCAGACATTTCAACCTGTGATGATGAAGATATACTCACGGTATGGTGAGTTACAACCATGTAACGGCGTCCTATTTTTATTATTTTCTTTGTTACTGCTGCAGAAGCTTATAATATTCATTTTATCGTAATAAACAGACTTCAAGTGAGGAAGGTGAGTACATGTTTAACATGGCAATTACAAAAAATGAAAAATAAAGGGGTCTATAATAAGATGCGGTACCATGTGCTTAAATTTGGGATTTCATTAAGATGTAGTTTCTAAAATTAGCTTTGCAGTCATTAACCACTAAAACTAAAGTTACTTATTGTTAGATGGGGATATCCAAACTAGGCATACAATTACCAAGTGGAATGACGACAGTTTCTATTAGTTCATCACAGTGGACAGTACAGGATTGTTGTATAAGCTCCAGCCTACCTTGCCTAATGGTAAATCTGAAACTGATTGGCATATATATACTGTATTTTCATGTGACGAACTTCTTTCGGTTAATTAAAGTTTCACCCAGCAAGCAACAGGAGTTCCCTCGTATTCAGTTAGGCCAATGCTTAACCTAGAAGTCACGAATAAATAACAAAATCACCAGCCTTTTAATTGTTGTATTGTAAACGAGTAGACGACACACAGGAAAATTGAATATTACGAAAAACGAAGTTAATTATATGATCGACAAAGTTGATTATAACACACAATATCTCACGAAGTTTCGCGTTACATAAATGATAATTTTGCTAGAGCTAGACCTATTAGTACGAATGTGTGATTACCTTATTTACGATGACCTGTTACATAACTGATTTTTGGAATTAAAAGAAGTTTTTGACTACTCTGGTATTTCACAATCATTACCTTTATTTAATTGTTCCAAAAATGTTGTCCAAATAACCAACAGTTTCTACATCGTAACAATTAGTAGATACGAAATGTATATATGGATCGTTTGAAAAAATCGTTATTGTTGCTGTGGAGAGTCTTTTCCATCAATTTCAAATTTTCAGTACTTCAGTACAAGAAGAAGCCATTACTTTTATTTTTTATTTACTTTTTCAGAAATCTTATAAAATTCTAGAATTCAGAGTCAGTTTTTGCCACTTTATTTTGTTTCTCAACCGTGTAATATATTATTCAGTCAAGGTACGTTGCTATCGAGTCTCACTGTGAACTGATATAAGTTAGGCATTTCATGCTTTCATCAACCACAGAATTGGGTTCCGTTTAGTATTTGAGAACTGTGTGTAAGGTAAGAATGAGTAGCTGTGAATATTAAATTAGTAACGACGAAGGCGAGATGCTATTGATTAAATAATGATTGAATTTGAATATAATGCTGAAGATCTAACAACACTGGAGATCAGAAAAACATTCATTATAAAAATTGCAACTCGAACGGCTGGGCAGTACAAATTGGTTAGTTTACCAAGTGAATGATAATACCAGGTAAACGTGGAATTCCTGTAATGGTTCGGTGTATTGACGAAGTAGCCTTACAAAATTGTATTCATTTACCATTTTTATGCAACAAGACGGTATGGGATGCTGATCATTACTTATGTCTGTCGATATCATCCTGAACTCGCGTATGCCAATTTTCTCAATTCAATTTGTATATATACTATATCTTTTCCAGCTCACATTTCTATTAGGCGGGGGCGTAGCCATGTTGGGGGCGGAGCAATTTCTCGTAGCTTGAAACGCTTTCTGATACCTCAAGACTCTTGAAAACCCACGTTTTTCGTCGTCAGTCCAGCAGCTGTCATCAACTGTTACACCTCGAACTGGTCATTTGTGGAATGATGCTGGAGTATGAATAAAAAGTAGATAAAAATCCCAATGTGTAATTTTCCGGACAAGAGAGGCGTTTGGATGCTATCTCGCCGGGATTCGAAACTCCACCACTGCATCCGAAACTTTTCAGTTCATACGAAAAATAAAGTTGGTTCTTGTATATTGGTGGATACTCATACAGAGCCCTGTTTGAAAATGAAATGCCTGGAATGACAAAATATTTATAATACGAGGCATCCAACAATGGAGATTCACGAGGAACGTAGTTACAGAATCAAAAAGGCAGACAAAACCCACATAAAGTATATAAAAAGTTCTATATGATTTCAGACAAAAGAAATAGCTAACTTACAAATATGTCGAAACCTCAGTTTGCTACGTTACAGTCATTTATAATATTTCAACGATATTTTTGAAGATATTAGTCCCTTCGCAAACGTACCACAGCGTTTGCCTAATATAACGCCCAGTAGAACTAGCATATTATATTGAAAAAGTGATGAACACAGAACGCTAAAAATGCCTTCGGCCTCATGCTAAATCACGGCGATGAGTCTCAGTTTTACGTCATCAAAGCGACCATACTAATTATAATTATCGGACGATTTCTGCAGTGTTGACTTCTAAAAATTCGAGTTTCGCTAACGAAGTCCACTGAATGTAAGCGGTAAAAGCCAAAATTCCTAAAAAATTATATATTATTAAAATGCGGTTGTGTCGTAATCTTCGACGATTTCGTGGTAAAGTGGATGAAAGCGCCCGTGTCTCTTCGACAAAAGAGAGGAATGCACATTGATTCATAACATGTTTGATTGAAGCGTTATGAATCGTAGTTTGCAAGTTATTATTGTCTTGAAATAACGAAGACGAAATGAGAGCTGCATGAAACTGGCGCAAGAGCGAGCCGCGGGTTGGCCACCCATGCATTATTGAAGCGTACAATGCACATTGTTAAACAATATATGTATTATGTTCTAGGCAAGTTTTATTTCCATTTTATACATTCATTTTAGGATATAATAGGTTACCATGGCGTCAACCAGTGATACCTGCGTTCGTACTAAGAAGCATATCTTTGCGGATCATTTTCACGCCAGTCAAAAAATGCAAATTTATATATCAACGTGTTTCCGCATAAAATAAAAACAATTCCCACTTTACACGAATACTTTAAAGATAGATTGGATATTTTATCTAACATTTTCAAATATTTAGAAACAGACCAAAATATACTAATTACAAAATTCTTCAAATCGGGATTTAGATCGACGTTTTGCCCGTTTTTGAAACAAGCTTGAATTAGAATCAATCGCTCAACTCATATACAATTCATTATAACTCTCAATATAAAATAATGGTCTCTGAGGACAAATTTATGGCAGCACAAACGTATATAAGCGTTGATTTCTTGTATTTCGTGGGAGAGTATCGTCCGAATCAATGTCGTGATCGCCTTGCGTGTAACTAGTAGCTATACTATACCAACAATGAATATATATAATATTAGCTATAAATTTGTGATACGGCAGCTGATAGCACCTTCTGATTGGAGTCAAGATTTTCAACGGTTTAGACTTCAACAACGATAACTGAACAGCATCAACAAGAAAGATGATAAATCAATGAAGAATATCAAAAGAAGATAGAACAAGGGTACGAATACCAGACAATCAACGACATGAACTTTTTTGAAATTTAAGATATAAGATGAAAAATCTATTTTAAATCAGTCAAATTGATGATATAAGAATATCGAACTGTTTATAAATGAAACGAAAGAAGCGCGCGCTTTTACCAACGAAGCATAAATGTATGACCCAGAAAGTCGATAAATGTAAAATTATTATTCATCTGTTTGTTTTATTTAGTTACGCACAGATTTTTATATTTTCTGCTGGGTATTCTTCGTACTACCTCTGTTACTAAGGTATAGTTCTTCTTTCCTTCTTTGTCGATATTAATTCGACTCTTAGTTTTTAAGAATTGCTTATAATAAGACTTTGAATGTTTACTCGAATCGCAAATTGCAACTAATCTTTATGGTAAATTAATTATGCGACAAAGGTGAATATTAAGTTTCAAATTTCGTTCGGTTCATAATAATTGAAAATGGAAGGAGACAAACTATTTCGTTTAGATAGATTTTATTAATTAACATTGAAATACCTTAAAAAAAGATTCAAATGAGACACTCGTTCAAACATTTATATTTTATAGTATGTATCGTCATCAGCCAGCGCGATTCATGAATGAGCTCATCAATATAGTCGTTGAACACGAGTTCGCGATAAATATTTTGTACTAAACAAATGCTATTTTTTACTTTTTGAATCCCAAAGATGGCATTCTCAACCCATCGCAACAAGCGAACTTATAAAGCGCTTTTTTATACTTATACCCGACGAGGGAGATTCAAAATAGGCCAACACACATTCTCAACAACATAGGTAACATGACCGATGAGTAAGGTTCAGTGTGACGAAGTATATTGCATTGAAAGATCAGTTTTAGCCGTCGAAATCAAATTTCAAAATAACAAAACGCCGATTTTTTACTAAATATACTCTTATCCTAATGCTTCCCATTCTTTATATCATTTCGTCCCATATTTTCGAATTTCATTATATCTTGACATGTATATTTTTCATTTGTGGTTTGTGTCAGTTCACAATTTTCAACGTCTTTTTCCCGATCTCCGATCGTAATCGGCGTAGATATTTCAAGGATAGATTGGTTATTTACCTAATGTTTTTATATATTTAGAAAAGGACTAAGACTTTCTAATACTAAAATTCCTCAAATGGGAATTTAGATCGATGAAAAGCCTGTTTTTTATTTGGAAGAATATGTCAACCAAAATTATTTACATCGATGAAGCAAAACGTATGTTATTTAGCAAACAAGTCCATGATAATGAAATATCTAACTCACCAAATGAGAATGGTTTTTGCGAATTTTTGAGGTTCGAAAATTGTCATTTTGTAGAACTTGAAATGTTTGGTTGAATAATCGTATTATTACAAACTTTTTCGTTCATGAGAGTCAAAATTTGAATTAACCTATAAAAAAACGATTATCATAAGATTATTGCAATTAAAAATTGTGGTGACATATCTGCATGCTTTCTTCATTTACAGACAAGGAAGATAGATACCTACAGAATCTCGGATGGAGAGAGTGCATTCGTAATCAAGCGTAGCAAGCCAACCATGACAAAACTGAGGTTAATTATACTCGATCAATGGTTTAACTTTACTAACGGCTTATTCTCGGATGGGAAATGACACAAGCCGAAGTTGATTAACTTGCGAAATAACGCGGAAGGCCAGCTATTGTGAAAAAGTAATTTGCGGGGACAGCTGGGTACTAACATCAGACTTATATATATAACGTAGTTTGATGTGTTAATTTTATTAGTTTTTATGCTGCTTGTGCTGACAGTCAGTCAGATTCCTATTTTAGTTTAAATTAAAAATGTCGGGTTGACAGTGGCCAAAATAAAACAAGCAAAATTAGGTATTTTTATAGAAGGATGGGAAAAGTGCCAAGAGGTATTGAAAATAAGCCATGGATCACGAACCAAGTTTGAAAACCACTGGTATACAATTTTTTTTAATAATGTTTCAGTCTATTCAGGTTCTTTAATAAAACTGTCATATCAATGCCAATTAATTGACTACACACAGCGCTTTCTGATACCGCCTCCATTCTCGTGATCGATTCATTATTGCTGTGAAAATGATCTCTCACACAAACAGTAAAGTTACTATTGTCGAAATACTATTTTTCTTCCGGCAAAACGGTATTTACAAAACATACCTTGACGAAACATCGTGTTCTTACCTGCGCGTGTTTTATAAATTACAACTAACATAATACCATTGAACTCAATAAAGCACAGTCTTTATAAGTTATGGCTGGAATTAATCTATTTTTCAGCTTCCTAACGAAAGGTGAAAGTCTGAGAAATAAAAGCTTAAATACGCTCGAATACGAAGTGATTATGAAGGTTGTTCAACTTGTTTCAGCATACCGTTTGATGTTGATAGACTCTCGTATAATAGATCAGTCAAGTGATTAGGAGTCCTGTCAAGTGGATCAGGCGTCTGATTTGTAACAATATTTCATTGGTGAAGTTTACTTTGAGTGTCCTCTTAGCGGTTTTTTGTCTTTGCACCCACGTACATTTGCACCAATAAATCACACCCAGGACATTTGCCATGTATACTTTTGTACGCTCGGACATTTGCACCCACGGACATTTGCACACACGTGTATTTGCACCCGCGGACAATTGCACCCGCGTACATTTGCATTCAAATACATTTGAATCCACGTACATTGCACCTACGCGTGTTTGCACCCGCGGACATTTGCACCCACGGATTATGTCGTGTAATAAGCGAAATATTATTTAAATGTATATATATATATATATATTATGTTTTTGTATTTTTTGTTGCGGATGATCGATAAGTCGACGGTCTCCGATCGCTATCTCGTTTATCTATTATTACTACTCGACGCGCGGCTTTCTTGTCTTGTGTTATTGATTAAACGCTGATGGATGAATTCATTGACACCATATATATAATATATACCTATACTTAGTGAATTGAAGTTTGTCAGAAACACAGGTATTCGCGAGCTAACATGTCTGTGCCCCCCTTCATTCAGGTTCAAATATCCACGGGAAAAGATGTTCATGGGGCAAATGCATATGCATGAAAATGTCATGGGTACAAATGTACCTAGGTGCAAATGTGTTGTCATTCCTTTGTCAACTACTAACAACCTATCTCTAACAAGTAAGTTTAAAATTTTCAGCAAGAAAGTTTAGTAAACAAACTATAATTGGTATTTTAGAATTTAGCCTTTATAGGTTAATTGCCACATTGAACAAAGTGCAAATCGTACACAAAGTATACGAGCATGAATATTTATACGAATACTCCCTGATACATTCTATTACAGCCAGCGTTCCTCGAATTCCACTTAAAACGACCAATGTAATTAGTGTAATTTTCTCATAGATTCAGATTCATGAATACCAGAGCCAGATTAAACCTTTTCAATATAATCTTTAGTAGAGAGTTAGACCTGCATTTCGTTTAGGTCAGGGTGGTCCAAACCTAGGCCCGCGGGCCACAAGTGGTCCGCCGACTCAGTATCTGTGGCCCGCGTCGCAATATTCGGGGAAACAAAAAATCAAATTTGGTGTTGTTTCGTCATAAAAATAACCAGAAAAATATTTTTCCATATTGTTACATTACTAATGTTACTAAATTGACTTGTGTTATGGCTAGATGAGACTACTAGCGCAGTTGTATAGTTTGCTTGGCCAGTCTAAATTGTAGACTGGCTTCCTTTTCTTGTCGGGAATATATGCTAACAAAATAGGCTTCATAAAACACTGAATATCGAATGGGGAACCTATTAGCCTAGGTTGGTTATGTCTGATAACTAAATATTAATGTAATGGCCGATCAATATAATTTTTTTTTTAATCAATATAATGTGTTTAAACAATAAAAGTGTTCGTTTTCTATTGCACTGTTTACATGTTCTTGGCATTATTGTGGCCCGCGAACAATACAAAAATAATAGTGTGGCTCGCGATGCCGACAACCTTGGACCACCCTGGTTTAGGTCATTGACTTATTTATTTATTCAGGTAGCCGATTAACGACGTGAATTATATATTTTAACGTATTATGCGATCTTCAGAAAGCACCTGTAGCAGTACTAGATTTACCCACTTCGGATTATTTTAAAGTAAATTACTGAAAGTTTGTCGTTACCGCGTGTAAATTCTCCATGCCTGACAATTGTTTTAAATCAAGTTTTTCTACCTATTTTGCCTTCTTATGTTTCTTTGGTAATAAATAGACTTAAAGCAAGAAAATGGATGTAAAAACTTGCCCAATCGTACTTGTTGAAAATACCCTTCAAAGCGTCACAGGTATCGATGACTTTGCCCGTAGACGCCCTCTAGAGCTGTAGCACAACGTGCAACAAACGTGGTTGATAAACGCAGTCGACTGCGTGCTGCGGAAACGCACTGTTTGGCCTTAGTTTCGGCGATGCAGGGGCTTTTTCGAAAGAAAATACGAAAGATAGAGAAAAAATTGATTTAGAACAAGCCCTCGGGATGCTTTTTACAATTGATAAAAACAAAACCAAAACCAATGGGAGGTTTAGCAAGACGCAAAAGACAGATTTATTTTATATAAGAATTTGAAATACTTGTAAATTGCAAAATGAACAAACATATTTCGCAATGTTTAAATTAATAACTGAAATTATTGTTTAATTAAAAGCGATGTCGTAGGAGATTTTTCAGCGTGGTAATACGCACACAGAGGCTAAAAGCTTGCGTTGTGATTGGGACTATCGCCGACACAACAGACATTGTATTTAGAAATAGTCATTGTGAATGAGAATGTATGATTAAATTGAAAAACGAGTGTAAAAATATATCAAAACGATTGGCTTCGGCAATGGAATGAAATTATATATATAGTTTTGGAGTATCAACTTACATGCATCCTGCTGGAACTGTCAGAAATGACTGTTGTTGCAAGGACGACACAAACCTCCATCGATAATTCAGTTGGCCAATGCAAGAGCTACACTTCCGCAAATAAAAGCAGTAGAGTTTGATTGCAGAGAAGCCAATTGCGTTTTATTTATTCATTCGGCCTACATCATGAGTTCATGTGATTGAAAGTTAGGACAGCTTATCTGATAAAGTGGAATCTATCATGCTCAGCAGTTAGTTTATTTTAAATGAAAAGGCTTTAGTTCTAAAATATTGGAACATATTATGGAAAACATAAATTTTGTGCGAAACGTCCTAGATTACTTAAACCTTTGGGTACAATCACGCACAAACATAAGTTAAAGTGTAGAATTTTCTTCATTTTTGTAGAAATACTTCAGAAATCTATGGTTTCTGTTTTTTGTCACCCCATATATATACATAATTTATGAAATAGTGAACGTTTGCTCATAGAGTTTAGACGAATTAGTCCCGTAATGATTGTAATTTCTCCTGTTGTTGATAAGCTCCGATGTTATTGACAGTATTATTATTTGCTCTTATATCTACGACAGGGCTGTAAACTCAATCTACAAGCGAACGAACGAATGTGTTTTAATCAGTTGGGTAACAGAGGTCATGAAGATGTCAGAAAAGCACGTGAATATACGGAAAAATTCTGTTGCATTTTATATATATGCATTGGGATATTTCCTTCGAATTGGACCATTTGTGTCAGTTGTCGGGTTGCAAAGTAGTATTAACATTGAAAAAAGCATCGGTAAGTAGACACTGAATGAATATCTTTAGTCGTTTTGTTATGATTTCAAATTTTTTTTAATAACTTCCACCAATCGGAAAATATATATACACTTGAAATAGTAACAAGAAAATTTCGTGTTTAATATAAATCAGAATTTTCAGTTTCAAATTCTTTTGATTTCTTCAGTTGAATACATTCAACACCGGTATAAACCAATCTAGAAGTATATTTTAATTATTATATATACATGTCCTGTTTAAGAGAGCAAAATGATTAGTCAAAGTGAAATTTATTGCTTTATTCTTGCTATGGGAAGAGTTTTTGTGATAACGATTTCATTATGAGTTGTCCTCCACAAGGTCTGTAACTAAATATCGCTATATCCTATCGCTTTCCTCGTTTCTTCATGTACAGGCTGTGTGTACAGTTATTGTTTAACATGATATTAGGTACATTATATCATTATACTATGAATTAAGTATGTTCATATAGTTGCATTCCTTCGCAACCTAAACAAAGACGCAATAAATCACGTAGCATAGCAGTACTGTTAACAGAATAGTCCCCTTTTCTCAGTAGAACCCATCATTGGTAACTCAGAATATTAGGAGTCAGGTTGGGCGAAACCGTGTGAAAACTTTATGAAATTTGAATTGTAATTTCAATCCAAGACGTTGCTTGCATAAGTACCATAAGTACAGATCTCGTTGTGAAAGTGATTTAAAACTCTTTTATTTTGGTATCTCCCCTACGTTTCAAATCCAATATATATATATGGTATCAATGTTTCTCGAAAGTCATGAAATAACAGAGGTAGCAAAACTTTGCAGCGCAGTAAAAAATATGAAAATTATGAAAAAGCAATCGATCTCATGCTGGCCGCCTGACTATGGATGTATCATATTCGGGGAGCTATAATATATATAACGAGCCGAACGGTTCTTGCACTAAAATAGTACATATCATTGCTTTTCACGTTTAATAGGCTCCTTTTATGGGACATTGTTCCAAGCGAAGGTATGAAAACAAATGAAAAAGGTAAGCTGCGTCAGCTGCGCTAGCTTCTAAAAGGTTCCTACAGATTTATCTATTATATATTTAAAAGCAGTTATTTGAAAATAAGCAATTGTCGTCCCAACAATAACAACGTTAACACCTCAAACAGAAAATATGTAACAAAAACGACCAATGGGTTCACAACGCAGTCAAAGTATTTTATACAAAACATTCGTAACGTATGAATCATACAAGTTTAGAAATATGTAAATTTTTCAGGTACTATCACCCTTGGCGTAGGCTACGTTGTATCGGTATTAACAGCTTTGTTCGTGACACCTGTCGTTATACGAAGGTACGTGTTTTCTATATAACTATACAAAATTTGACAGCAATCAGATAATTCAGAAATACCACCATAAGTAACTAATATAAACATTTACCATTTACCCATAAATGTTTGCAAGTTTTAAAGGGTATGGGAACGAGGGAATGTTTTTGAATAGTAATGGTTGGCTCATCGGGTTGGGCTATGTGAGTAGGATGTTAGGCATCTGGATTCAAAAATCAATTTCAGATTTTGAAACTTATGAATTATATATAATTGGGCATTGTGTTACCTAGATTGCTTATTTTTTGAAAATATATATCAATCATTCATTCCAGATTTGGATGTAAATGGGCGATCGTGGCCGGTGAAGTCGCTAATCTGTTGTACATTGCCGCGAATTTTTATCCCGGTAGGTAATTTTAAAATTTGACATATTACGTTATGATCGAAATGCTGTTAACTTTGTCGAGTTATGGAGGCATTTTTGGATGCCTATACAATCCGAAAAAGTTCGTTAATCAAAAACCAATAAAGTTGAATTAGTACATATATATATATTCGAGGTTCTTGTAACATTTTACGTTATTTTGTTTTATCTAGTCAAATTTATCATGGTACTTGCCGGCGCTGTCGTTGGATTGGGCGAAGGATTAATATGGACTACATTACCTATATTCAGCACATACTTCGGAATAGAGCATGGTCATCATGGAGGGAAACACCGTGCTGAATATATTAAAAAATACACTGGAATATTTTTTGGATTCCATTACGCTGGACTAGTGAGTGAATTTTTATTTTAAATGCAATTCAAGCCAGAATTTCGAACACATATTTCAACTTTCATAAAACTATTGAAAAACAAAACAACAATGCTATAATATATATATGAACACCGGTAGCTGAGCACCAAGTTTGCAAAAAAGGGGGTTTGATTTAGTTGCATGGACGGTAAGAAGTATTATCCGCGGGTTCAACATATATGCGGGTGCTAAAACCTATGGGTTAGGGTTAGAATGGGTTCAAATATCCGTAAAACAAAAAAAAATCCATGGGTGCAATAGTACGCAGGTGTATAACTTTCATAAAACTATTGAAAAACAAAACAACAATGCTGTAATATATGAACACCGGTAGCTGAGCATCTAGTTTGCAAAAAAGATCCGCGGAAGAGGACTGAAGTTTTTCCATCTTTTATAAAACGCGACCCCACGAATTAAAATAAAACATCAAAATTTGGTCTGCAATATCGAACCGCACGACGATCAAACAAAATCAAAAAAAGTAATAGCATTTATTAGTGAAAATTTGAAATCGATCAGTCCATTAGAAGAAACGCGCTTATTACACAACAATAATAACCCCAATCACTCTAAGTAGACAAACAACAACAATTACGATTTAGCAAAACGATCCATAGGACTTCGTATCCAATGTCTGTTTTAATTAATGGTATATATACCTTAAATAAGATGTGGATCCAATATTCTAAATTTAATGAAGTAATTCAATTTATGATAGATATCGAGTTGAAACTTGTATTTTTGCAGGTATTCGGTACAGCTGTTAGTTATGGCTTTCTCTATGGTGGAAAACATGGCATGGTAATCACAAGTGATGCAATCAATGTAACCTCACAAGACAATATTTCTCAAGCTGCAATATATGACACGTCGTTTTTAAACAATTACACGCAAATTAATTCAACTGCTTCATTCACAAATATGAATATTACGTTCTCAGCTACAAGAAATATTACTGACAATAGCGTATACCAATACTGTGGATCAAACGACTGCCAGCAACCCGAAGTTACAGAGATGTTTATTAATAATTACGTGCCTGCAGATAAAACATACCTGCACATATTATTGTCGTTATTTTGTGCTCTTACAATATTTGGAATATTTTTGCATATTAAATTCCTCCCTGCTGCTAGACCGCAAGTGAAGTATGAAAATTCTACTCACGAGATGGATGTTATTGTCGGAGATGGGGACGGTCATCAGGTGAATAAAAATTCGATGTTTATTTAAATCCTGATCGTCAATGATTCATTGTTAATTTACATATCGTCACGCTAAAAACCGAATTGCGTAAGTCATTTTTAGCAGTTTTGAGAAAAACGTAATAAACTTACTAATGATATTGCTATGCCATTGAGAGTCAATAATTTGCCATAGTTCAATTTTTTGATCGAAGTCGGATTTAAGTTAATTTGTATGACGCAGTCATATGACGTCATAATGGCGCACTGTGACTTAGGCAGAAATGGTCTATGACTTGGGGACATACGAATTTTTGCAACTTGACTATATGTACCAGTCCTGAATACCAAACAATCTAAAAACGAATGTAATTCTTAGTATCTACGATGTCTAATCCCCAAAATTGCTAATCTGATTTAATCACATTATTTTTTTATGTTTAAAAATATATATTTCATTACTATAACACGCTCTGCACACCCATCGAAATAAGACTAAGATTAAATATAAAGAATAAAACAGCAATGTACCCTTATATAGTAGCCAACCAAGGTGAATTGGACGCAGACAGTGAATATCAGCCTTCCTATACTGTAGTATAAATTCAAATTTTTAAGCGCTAAACTAGAATCTGAGATGCAAAAACTCGAAAATCCTTCGCCGAGATTATTTTGCACTTGTGACGTAACAATAGTTCGGCGTTAACAATGATAATTCATTATGACGAAACAATTGAACAAATTTGCATGTCATACGTAATCTCAATTTTTATGGCTTTTGGAATTCTTAAAATAAAATCTGAGTTAACAGACAGGAGCGCAGCATTACATAAATACCTATTTTATAAAAAACTCAAAACCGCCAAAAATGAGTTTTTTTTTATCTTCTGAGTAAGCGTTTGCGTCCATGCCTTGAGCAAATGCTTACAGAATGGGCACTATTTAAATCATAAATACGTACCAAATAGTATTTTAAAACAGAGAATAAAATTTTATGTCGAATATGTTCGAAAAATATTGTACTCCCACTGATATTTATATCGTTTTTATTTTGTAGAATTTATATCAACCAACGTTAAAGTCAAGTCTTATAGCAATTTATCGCCACAACTTCAACAAATTGCAGTTGTTGATCGTCCCAATTGTCGTTTACAACGGATTGGTAATGGGATTTTACTTGAGTGAATTGGGTCGAGCATACACTTCCTGTGTTCTGGGCGTTGAACAGGTAAAGCGCTATGTCCACCAGACGTCAGCTGGTTGGGTTGAAACCCGGTTCAGTGGCGTATCTAGAGTGTGGCAGCCATGGCTCGTGCCATGGGCGCCGTTTGGACAGGGGCGCAAAAACGGCGAAATATTTCAATTGTACAATGTTTCAATAAATAATTTCAAATTGGAAACACGTATCTCAATTCAATAACAGTCGTTAAAAATTGTTAGTTAATGATCAAGGGGGCGCATCTTCAAACTTTGCCATGGGCGCCATTTTACCTAGATACGCCACAGACCCGGTCCCATATTTTAATAAATGTGATGTCTATATATATTATATGAAATCGAAATATTTGTAATTCAGGATTAAATAATATATGAGATTTTATTGTCTTTTTCAGACAGGTTTGTCGTTGATGGCGCTGTCCATGACGAGCGCGTTTTCATCAGTTATTTCAGGGAAGTTAAATGGAATTTTTGGAAGAAACATTATAATGATTATATTGTTCGTCATTGATATCTCAAATTACATGTTCTGTTTGTGGTGGAAACCACAGGAAAACACAGCAGGGTTAGTGTACCTAATCTTCGTGGTTTTTGGACTGACTGATGCTTGCTGGAAGAACAACATCATTGGTATGTAATCTGTAGTTTTTTTTAACAATCCAAAATTACACAATGTACATACCTCGATCATGTAGTGGCACAATTATTTTCCTTGTGGCAAGCTTTATGAAGGCCAAGAAACCTTAAGATCTTAAAATCAATAGCTTTTTACGTTTTTTATTTAATTACTGATAATCTGAAAACGATTGGTCCAGAGCAACGGTGCACAACCTGCGGCCGTCCACATACAAAATCCTATAAACCAACGAAAAAAAGTTCAAAATATAGAATTTGGCGGCTACGCTTTGCAAACTTTTATAGAATAAATTCATCAAAGTATTTGACATTTTATCATACTTTTGGAGACAAGAAAATGGGAGCGACCGAACCCCCCCTGACTTTCGATTTTTTTCAAACAACATATTATGTTGATCGACAAATCCGCTTTATGTGCAATAAGTCTATACCGGATAGGATTTACATATTTATTTGAGGGGAGAGGAAATTCGATAGGATGGCTTAAGTATATGGCGAACCACGACTTGTCGTCCGTTCACCAGTCCATGTCGGGTATGAGATTAGTTAGTCAGCAGCTATTTGTTTTCAGATGCATTTCATGATGCATATATATACAAATTTGCTGGCTTGTTCCACGAGAATGAGACTATGAACACTTGATATATTGGCGGGAATTTATCAAGCAATTAAATCATCTTGTGAATAAAGACGGATAGCGACAGTCTATACGCCGAAAATTCAAGCTTCAGGCGCTTTTAGGGGTTCTGTTACCACTCGAGAAACATGAGAGTCGAGGACTAAGCAATATTTACTTTCTTGTAAAACACCAGAATATAACTTCACTTGTCTTCACAACAGGTATGTACACCGATTATTTCCCGGATAATCAAGAAATTTCTTTCAGTGTCTGGAATTTGTGGATGACTTTGGGAATTGCAATAAGTTTTTGTTGGAGTCCTTTACTATGCGTCAGTACCAAGATATACGCTCACTGCATTTTATTAGCATTGTCGGTGTTGCTTTGTGGTAATTATACTATTTAATGCTTAGAAAATATCAAATTGTTTGTTTCTCATATATACTAGATAGGTATACAATAACAAGAAATTTATTTGAGTCGATTTTCAAGCGTCTCTGATTTGAATGGAACTTTACACGAGTCCACAGCAATCAACAAAGCGTGAATGGAAGCAGCATTTTAATGCGTATTGCAACTAAAAAAATGTTTTTCGTTTGGTGTACAGGATTCGCCGAATGTTTACACAGAAGAGGGAGGTAGAGAAATTGGACATATATAGCCTATCTAGAAATATTACTCCGCATAATTATCTGAAGTAAAAAGTGTATTCCGACGTGGTGGAGTTCTTGTAAAAATTGAGCATAAATACAAAACTTTTTGTCTGAACTATAAACTTCTAATTTGCCAGCTTCAAATTATGAAAACGTCCACCCACGATGGGGCATCTAAGAAATATATTTTAATCAAATGTAGAGCCCATTGGATAGATGGACTCAGAAGAACTATTCTAAAATAGATGGAATCTATGCAACTTTGAGCTGTATTATTTCAAAATGCATAAAAAGCACACTCACGTAACTTAATATACCATAGGCATTGCGCACCAATCAAAGCAGCATAATATTCCATTTCATTTGAAAAAATGAAATATATATCAAATACGGAAATATCAAATATATCTGCATCAGAAACAGTTTTTGCCAACCTGCAATAAATGTTGTATGGCAGGCCTACAATCATTATTTTACGATTCTGGCAGTTCATTTGTTATGAAAAGCATTTTTTGCTTTGCTACCCATTTAATTTACATAGTCTTTTTATAGCCAGTTACATGACCATTGGGGAATATTTCCAAGTAGCTTGTTCCTTCTTAGATGTTACAATGTTTTTATATAAATCTATCGATCATAATTGTGTAATTTTGAATGTAAGTGTACATAGTAGGGCTGGGAATTTCTCGGGAAAACACTTAAAAGTGTAATCGGCTGAAATTAACCGGTTACCCGAAGAGTGACGTTTGACGTGACAAGACATCATTTAGCTTGTTACGTCACAATAGTTATTAAGCTTGATCTTATTCTGGCATGGCTCAAAGTTATTCACGGATCCTGATATTTTCATTATCGACTGCAAGATATATGCAGCCTACTCCGGACATATGAAAGTATTTTACTAAAACCCGATTCTGTTGTTAAATGTCTTTTAGTATTTGATGTGCGTCTTCTACTTTGAGATATCATAAAAATAAACAGAATCAACTGCAAAGAATCGGAATCGAAAATTCCCGTGCAACGGCTTCTGAAACAGGCGCGCGATTATGCCACCCGTTGAGATAGCCGACTTTTTCAGCGGATAATGATTTTTCTGTTCAATCTGTTGCGTGAAATATTTAATCCATGGCGGATGCGAGCATTTTAATTGTCTTGCAATTTTAATTTGACGTATCTAGTAACTCGCCTTTGCGTCGACTTACGGCTAAACTGCACGATTATAAAATGGATTGGATTCGGATTTTTGCGACCTTGGGATTTGGCAACTTCTTTCACCACTGGCTGCCACTTGGATTACTTTCAAGATTTCGACTTCGAAAATTTCCAAGGTCTGCGTTGAAATTCCGAAAGTACAATTCGAAATTGCGCTAGGTATTCAATCAATGACGAACACGGGCATATTCAAAACGTTTTGCTTTATAACCTAATTGTTTTCAATGTGACCTGTTGTTGCATCGACTTAAAATATATAAGCAACACTACTACAAAATGCCACAGCCATAAAAATGTGTCCGTTTATATTTTTTCTCGATTCGTATTATCCGATAAGCGATGTTTCGATTTCACGATGTTCGAAATAGCATTTTTAATCTGTAGCGGTCTCCTAAAGACAAAACTTACGTTATTTCCCTCCCGTTTTATTTTTAGTATTTTACAATGTTGCTTTTCAATAAAAAAGAGCTGTGGATTAACTCCTTTATTATCTTTAGCATCTCACCGCAGATGATTATAATATATATAATAACTCCTAGGGTTCCGACCCTCGACCCCCCATGGGTACGAGCATACCATCAGAGAGTGTTTTTACCACGACCGGAAGTATTATTAATTCAAAGCGTTCCGAATAGGTCAATATATATATATACTATTATATTCCTGTGACAGAATGCGTGCGCACTTGTTGAATGACATTAAATAGACGCTCTTGTAATAAAATCGTGAACAATATCTTCTGACTGGAAACTGATTCTGAACTTATCATTGCCAAATTTTCAGGATCAGCACTACTACCGTGTTTCCCTGAAAATACGACCTAGCCTGAATTTTAAAAATGATATTAACATAAGCCCTCCCTATAAAATAAGACCTAGTCAATAGCGCAAATTATTGTTTTTTGACTTAGTCGATAGCAAGAAATTTCTCCTACACGTTTTAATTTAAATGATTAATCTAAAACGTGTGAGAGAGGAAAACGTGTTATTTATAAGTGGATGGGTATCAACTTTCATAGTTGTATATTTGAAAATCTCGTGATTCTCTACTTTGTAATTCTGTTTTTGATGAATGAAAATGAAAGATTTCCCCCTTAAATAAGCCCTAGTGCAGTGGTTCTCAACCGCCGGTCCGCGGCAACTTTGCTGCCGGTCCGCCAAATATTTTTCCAATATTAATTTATTATAAGCAAATTGAAAAATACAATGTATTGACGTAATGTCCGTTAGTTTTATGATTATTTTTTTTTTAACTATTATATTGATTCGTAGACCGGTATTCGTCTAACAACCAAACTTGGTGAGAGGTCCTCTGCCCATTTCAAACCCTGAACGGTTGGATGTTCGTTAAGTCTATGGTCTCATAACGGCGGCTAACGTCCTAACGGAGGAGTTTGATAGCACACAGCTAGGGTTTTGTTTTTTGCAATTCTAAAAAATACACCCTGTTGTAAAACAAGGGCTTGTTTTTTGTTTTTATTGAAATACCCTTTGCATCGCCGTGAAACTACGCAGCCGCATAAGCTGCCGGAATTATATTTTCGAAAATGTAAGTCAAAATTCTTACTTTGACTTTCACTTCTATTGCGTACACCTACCGCCAAGTTTGTATCTATCCCAAAGTCATACGATTTTAACAGGAATATTAATCCGAGATGCCAGAGAGAAACTATTTAATTAATGGCAGCCTTCGGCAAAACAAGTGCGGTACGATAAAGAAGAATATACTTAAATCGGCGGCAACCTGATTTAAACGATGAGTCAGGCTATGCTTATTGTAAGACACGTTTGGTGCAATGATGTCAAATCTGTTATGACCCCATGATAAGGATTTTGAGTTTCTGTATTAACATTTTTCTCCTAAAATAAAGGCATTATTACGGGTAAAACTGTTCGGTTGATTCATTCCTAGCATACTTTGTTCTTAAGGTAAAGTGATAGAGTTTTTCAAAGTTATACAAACTCATTTATTCGGTCGTATTTCAATTTTTGCAAGGTCGTTCTCGACGCAGGGTCGTTCACCTAATATCGGTATCACGTAATATCGTCTTATCGCTTGCGTCTTCCTGCGCCAACCACGTTTGCGGACGCATTGAACTAAAGCTTGCATGGGCCTTCGTCGATATTTGTGGCGTTTCGAAGGATTTATTGCAAATAAGAAGCGCTTGGCATGTTTTTACATTCATTTTTTTTAAACACATTTAATACAAAAAAAATCGGAACTCCCGGAGTATGTGAACCAAGATAGCGGACACCAGAACGTAGTATGTGTACTAGGTTGGGGTTAGGCCATAATTTTATAATAATATAGGTACAAATCTTACGGAAGTCACTTTGCTAGAAAAAATGGAATAAAATTATTCTCTAACCCTAATCTGGTACACATACTACATTCCGGTGTCCGCCATCTTGTTCCACATACTACGAGAGCGCCTGCAAATAGTACAGCCATTTTAAACAAAACAGGCAAAAAATGGATTTAAAACAATTGTTTATAAAAAAAAATTCTTTTTGAACAAATCCCTACACACATTACGGTACCTGATTGAGAACTTCGCAGTTCGCACGATCCGTAATTTGACAGTAGGCCTATATTTAGCGAGGTTTGATAGTAAAATGAAGACAAATAAACAACAAAGTATCATCCAGTTCTTCCAAAGGAAACCCAGCGGTGAAAGCCAAGTTGGTGGTGTTAACAGAACAGATGAAGAGACTGCTACATCAACTTTACAGCATGCCCCGAAACGACCTTTCAGGAAAGTTGATAAGGATCTGGTATGATAAGAAGTATTTGGAGCTAGGTTTTACCATGGCTTCCAGCAGCAAAAAAGTACCGCTTCCCATGTGCAAAGTCTGCGTCAAATTTCTTTCAAACGATGCAATAAAACACGCAAAGTCAACGAAAAAAATAATATCAAAAAGCCAGCCGCAAATTTCTCATTAGATTGAATTGTATTCTATTGCACCTTCTACTTTTGTCGTAATTGCATTATTTCGATTATGTTTTGTGTTCATGACATTTTTTTTGTGCTTACCAATACAGTTAGTGATATTCTTTAGAATTAAACATCCCGGGAGGTGAATTTGTGTTGCACTAATCATTTTCGAAGAAATTGTACAGTTTAAAGGTGATTTGTACCTGAGATATCAGTAACGTTCAAAATAAATCGTAACCGTTAACCATTCCCAGTACTTTGAATGTATTGCTCCGGAAACGAACTTATATTGTAATACAAATGCACACATGACAGTTCACATCGAATACCGCCCCTACGACTTTTATTAACAATTCTAAATTCTTTCAGTACCTTGATTTTTCTTAGCGTACAAATTTTATCACTTTGAGTGATTCGAAAGAAGTATTCGATTCTGATACCCCTAGACCGGGTGTTCTAGTTTCGCTAATGCTGCCCCGATTCGTGAGACTCGAAGCATAAATACAGATGGCTGAAACTCGACAAATGGTTGCATACTTGAAGACGGCGGCGAAAAAATGTGGCGACTCTTATTTTGCCAGACATTTTTTCCATTATTTCGGCATCGTTTCTATTCGAAGGCCCGGTCGTGTTTGCAATTGCACTAATTAAAGCCTCGTAACATTCATGTACCACTCATTGTTTTTAAGCAGATATAAAACCATTCACTCGAGTGATAGTCATTCAAGTGTAACAAACCCTACTAATACATAAGATTGGTAACATTATTCAATTAACTCAATTCATTGTCGATAACTGTTATCCACACTATATATCCAACCAAGTGAATCGAACACCACATGATACATCTGAAATGATTTTATTTTGAGAAATGTTCATGACACCAGTTCAGACTACAAAATGTAAGGTACTTTACGAAACGATCTGGGAATCCAAGATAAACGATATAACTTTGCCTACTTATTCATCATCCGAGAATAATATCTATTCTTGCCACATACAAACAACAAAAAAGGCCATATAGATTGCAATAAAATAGAACTATCCAATTTATTCATATCTGCAAAACTAATGGAAAAGTTTGTTCAAAATTGCGTTGGGGGTGTACGCCAAGAAACCAGATGCAAAATCGTATTACTTTAAGTATAGCCATGAAAAATGATGTACACGGATGCATAATTATCTTTGCCGGTTATGCAAACTGTTATATTTCGATAAAAATTTTGGTAATAATTGAATGATCTTACACGGAACATTAATATATTCAATATTCAAATATGAAATTGCGCTTGTTCACGCTTGTATGGACGTGGTGATCATAAAACCGTAAAATCACATGATACGAGAAGAACGAAGAACGCAACAAAAGAAAAATATCGACGGAACAGACTGAAAGAACACAAATCGTTATGATGTGATTAATATCAACAATAGAAAAGAAGAAATCAGATATATAATTAATATTTCAATAGAAATTTAAAATAAAATAAAATTTCATTCGTTGATATAGATAGAACATTTTGAAAAATAAACGGAACAAAATTGCAATAACATAAAAAAGGATCTAATCTTAAGCCATATGTATACTTAAATGCCTATTTCCATGTCAATTTATCATCAATTCCCCGTGTCAGATCTGACGACTATCACATACTCAAACCGTTCGCAACTTATTATTATTATTCAACAGCAAACGAAAAGTAGCATACCCTCATAAAGTAGTCATAATTTCCAATGAGCACGACAGTTGACGCCAAAATTGGCGGGAAAGAGCTCTGTTTTTTTGTTTACATGATAGCGGTATAATGTAAACACCAAGTGAGTGATTCAAGTTTTATTTTTGTGATCGTGACGAAGCTGGTAGAATTTTTTTTATTTTCGAATATGTTTCAAACTAGTGCAAAAATTTTTCTTGTGTGCTTTTCTAGACACGGATTTGTAAATTATTGCAAGAAGTAGGCCGTATTATATCAGACGGAGAACATTTTTTGTCTTATGCACTTCTCAAAATAAAATGTGATCAATTCAATTGTGTGTCCCATTTGTGAATAAAATTTCAGCTTTTGAATGTTTTACCAATTGCATTTTCGGAATTGATTTTACTGGACTTGTGAAACGATACGTATTTTTGTATGGTTAAAGTTGATGCTAACAATTCAACAATACTAAATCGAGAACATTCCATACTGTGGCAAAAAATAAGGGCCAGATTCAAATCGATTTCATTTATTCTAATCGCATATCAATTCGAACATTTTTATTCGCTTTCATAGGGGGGGGTTACGAGATTCCCACAACAAAATGTAAGATAACCAAATTATTCTAAAAGTAATCTAGCTGTGGGGAGGGTATCATGAGTACGCATGGACGCGGGAAACCTTTACTATATATAAATGTGATGAATCGAATACTGATTGATTCACAGGGCATATACCAATAATAAAAATTGTTACAGAAGACTAAAACTAATAACCACTAAAATGTCCATACCGCCTGTCAGATGGCAAAATAATTTCGCAAAAAAGTACAAGCAGCAACGTCTTGGTACCGTCAATATTCAGCGACAGGTACCGCTGTCACATTCAGTCAACAATTAGGGTGTATCTGTAAGCTGATGTGCCGTTGCCATTAGATTAGGTGGTGCATGATGTATAAATATTGGCAGATTTGTAGAAATTTGATATCTTATTTGTTGTGGCGGAAGACTTTCACAGTAATAAACCCGTGGAATCTTTTACTGCAGTTGCACTAAAAAGATGTCAACAAAATACTAGTACAAAGCAAAAACACACATAAATTATGAAAAAAAGGTGCATTCAAAAATATTTATTTAGCTCAATCAACTTATTATTCACTTCACTTTAGCCCTAGAAATATATATTATTGATATGATTACATGTGCTTTTGTCAGTAGAGTGAATAAAAAGGATTTTCCGTTTTAATATTATTTGAGACTATGATTTATTTATCTATGAGATTCAGGAGTCTTGCCGCACACTAACACAAATTCATATCTGTACTCTTCGGTCGGACGATCACCTAGAATTTCTTTATCCTTGCCACAACACCCTTGCACTACAGGCATTTTGATCCACCAATGCGGGCATATCAGGATAGGTAGTTTCGTCTTCAAAAACCTAAACCTATAGGATTATTTACCTTTCATAATATCGGAGTGTCTATGCAGTCACAGCATTTGACCTAACTACAAGGATAATACTTCTATGGCGGTTTTGTTAGCCTGGCTTCTTTCTTCAGAGATTCATCTGAAATAAAATAAAAATGACAAAATCATACAAACTGCTACAAAGTACACTAACACAATTGGGGAATAAATTTGAATTTACTTACTAATGCACTATATTTTAAACGTGAAATATGAATATTACAAAAAATATGGACATTTCTAGTATGAATTTGGTACAAGCAAATGACTGGGTTAATCCCCACATATTAGGATTTCTATACGATTCATCATTTAACGGAATAAAATTTCATTTTTTCGTTCGATATGGTTTTCATTCGATGACTTTAATACAGGAATATTTCATTTCATTGCGTATGACGTGTAAAGGGTGGTCATTAGTATCATGAAAGGTTTTTCAAAAACAACAAAAATGTGAAACGTGTCGGATAGCAATACACGATGGCGTGGTTTGAAGAAGAAAAGATAACGCGGTTTAATTAAAGGTCTCCAACGAGAGATCAGAGGCTGGTCTATCGCGGTACCGTGGGAATCGTAGTCATGGCTACGACGTAATACAAGCCTATATTACACGGCGCGGCCTTCAAGTTACTGACGACGCGCACGAGTATACACATAAATCCGCGTCGTTCTGAGGTATGCTGACCCTCTACCCACCAGTAAATAAGGTTTAAATAAGTTACATTCAAAAAAGGTATGCCACATCCATCTGCCGACCTGACAAAGGTCATTTTTGACGGCCCATGCGACTTACGAAACGATATGTGAGTAAATACCGAAGCGCCAACGCCCCTTGAAGTAAATAGAGGTAATGAGTTAATATGCATAGTAAAGCGAATCAAAAAGTACTATACTATATAGGCGACATGGGAACCGAATCACTCAAGTAACAGCTGATCGCACCAAATGACAATGGTGGAAAAGACGAAGGAATGAATTGTGGTGGACGAATAAAAGTCTACGGTTCTCACGGCGATGCCTTTGTTCGGGATACTACAAAACAATTTCCAGAAAATAGTACATGTTCTTTGGAAATTGTTATTTACGTGCCATGCCAACACTTACATCCGCGATCAACAAAACAGAGAACTTTTAATTCAAATATTTATATCATAATATATATAAGCATCCTTGGACTACTTTAACTTGAATTGTCAAAATTGTATGTAATATACAGGTAAATGAATTTATAAGACTGGAACACAAGAGCAATGAAGTGGTGATATTTTTTTCGTCATGTCACATTTGTAGTCATATCTTATCACACGACAATTTTACACTGGAATTGCCGATAGGAATTAAGAACGATTTAAAATTGGGTGAAAATACATTTTCAAGTAATGAACATCACCATTTTGGTGTTTTTCGATCAAACGAATGTCTGATTTTTAGTCTTATCTAATTTAATCTACTTAGAGATAGCCGTTACTAAACCTGGGATAGCGAAACAAAATATTGAAATTCAAATATTTTCATATCTTTTTTCAGTCGGACACAGCGTTGTAAAATTAGTATTAATCGCCATAAATAATATTCAACGCAGAAAACAATCGAAGTTGGTAAATTTTCCATATCCTTAGCTACAAACAAATGCGTATCCATGTGATTACAGCGTCGCATAACAGCTGCGAAGTGAATGTAGGGAACCACCCATTAAAAAAGCCGGCCGCGTCAATGGGACGCTACATCTTAAAAATAAACAAGCAACGCGGCGTGCTCGGCGTGGCGTAACCTGGCGATAAGACAATACACAAACATTACGCTTGTGTTGTGGATTATTTAAATGCCCAGCTTCGCTGTTCCCATTCCAACATTGGATTTCTTGTGAAAATTCGTATGACATTATGGTAAAGTAGCATAAAATGAATCATATAAGTCGGACAGTAACCTAGAATCCCAAGTTATGAATGACCACCAAATGGTGCCGACTAAACATATGCCATTCCAAACTCTCGGTGTCATCGGGTAAAAATGCATTACACAAAATATCCAACCGGGAAAGTGAAAAGATAAACATTGTCCAATTATCACAACCGGACGTATTCCTTTAAGTTCAAGTTTAGTTATGACTTCGGTACACTCGCTACTGCATAAAAGTCTTATACTTACCGAAAAGAAGGACATAGTGTATCTATTAATAGAGGGGAGTTTTGAAAGCCCCAAATTTTCAACAAATAACTCAGTAAAATCAAGGCACAACATATTCTGCATATTTAAAAACTACAAACTCATATTCTGTATATATTCATTCCATTAGGTGGTGATATGAAAATATATTGTTTCAAACGTTTTTTTCCAAGTATGTTAATCTAAAACGGTTAGAGCGCAATATTCAACAAGAAGTTATTGAATCAGCTATGTCGACGTGGGGCGATAAGCCACAGATAACTCGTGACATAAGACCTGAAACGCATTTCTAGTATAAAGGCCGTGGGAAAGCACATCTTATTAGTAGATTATAGTGGTGGTAATAAAATAGATAACCGTTACCAATATATAGCATGATGACTCGTTTACCCAATGAATAGAATATATATAAAAAACCATAATTGGTTATTGTAGCTATGCAGCATCGTTATATAGCACTGATCAGTTTGAAAAAAAGCAATAATTATTTTCTGAATAGGTCAAAATTGACTCTAATTGTATTTTAACGCATCCGGTATTTGGAGTCTTATCAAGTCCAATCATACTATTTTTGAATTCATAAAATCGACCTACATAAAACATAAACATACGACCTTATTATTTGATTGGGATATTCAAAGTATTTTGACATAACATAATCAAGTAATTGTGTACAGATATATAAACCAACTATTACATATTTCAAATTGGTCGCAATTGGGCAGACATATCTTTCGCCAGCGTGAGCTTTTAAAATATAATATCACCTTTTTTGGTAATTTCACTGATCTCGTTTTATATTATCGAATTGAATATTCAATAGCTGTTAAGGAAAATTTCCAAATTGTTTTTATTTCGTCCACCTGAGGAATTTCGATAATGTAATTCTAAATAAATGAATTTTAAATGTGATTTGGAAGAGTACATTGTATTTGTAACGTCAGTAAAATCAGAAAAAGATTTATTACTGTACTGGTAAATAGCGACCATAATCACTTATATCAGAAAAACAATGACAAAAATATATAAAAAAAATGATAAAAATATACTTCGCTCTGAAAATCAATATATGCATAGTAAAAGGAGATATAATGAATTACACGAAACAGGGTACAGTATCTCAGTTATAACGTCCATTATTAGCCAAATCGTTGCATATCAGACAAAATACTGGTAGTCACCATAAGCTTTACATTGGCGCATTACTTTAACGGATAAAATATTGATTGCCATCATAAGCGCTCAGGAAATACTGAAAAAGGTTTGTCTGTTGTCGCAAACGGATGTAAAGGTGTCGCAATTTTAAACGTATGCTTCGGGAGGAAATTAACCCGTAGTTGACTTCATCCAAAGAAAAATATCCCTTCTGATGTAACGTTTTTTATATCTACAATTTTTACCCCGCCAACTTTGTATAAATATGCATTAGCTGGCTATGTGACATACGGCACCACCTAATTAAGTAAGGGATGGGAGGTCTCAAAAGGACGATATTGATTCGAGAATAGACTTATATATAAAAAAAAATGAAAAAGAATTCGCAATGTTATATTCTTTATAAACCGAAAGGGGGGCATATAGCAATCACGTCCATTCTTGACATGATTGGCACAGTCAATCACAAACACAACGTCGACGCGATCGCACGCGACAACATGTAATTTGTGGTGGCTTAACGTCGCTTGGTTGACATTTTGAAAATCAGTTCAATCTATCGAAGAATGCCAGACACAAAACCACATTATCAGCCTTGTGTATTTTTATAAAGGTATGTCTCAACTATAGCATGATTGATAATTTTAACCTGGTTTAGATTTTACTTTTGCATCTAACGTAGTTCGCAAATACCCCTGCTTTAAAACTAGAATTGGCTAATGGGAAATGCGCTTCGGACATATATTTGTCATTTCTTATTCTCGTAGATCACACTACTTTTACCGAGTATTCGCAAACTGAAATTAGCGCATTAACGCTGGAATAGATCATTCAACATTTACATCGGCAAGAAATTCCAATGTAACTAATTGTAAATTGTTCAAATCCGTTGTTACCAATATTTCAGATGCTACCATCACATATAATATAAGAGAAAAAGAGAGTGTATGTTTCACATCGTGAATCGTGATGATAGAGGAACGTACAATAGTAAAATTGTACGACTGTGAACACATCATTGATCCACTTGAATTATAGAGAATAATTCACTTAACAGCTTACAATAGTTTCGATCGAATTGATGTTGTGTATCTGAATCCCTGAACCATAAAATATTGTATAATGTAATATGTAATCCAAGAGAATATTAGACGAGTTCTTGTTGGGGAATTGGTAATAAATAAACTCCTAATAATAATCAATCATGAATTAAAAATCGAATGTAATTTCAAATTTAACAAAGATTTTGAGCCGAGTTTTTTAAGATTTGTAAAGCACGCTACCATATAAAATGGCGCTACAGGTTTCAAAATGGCGTGGCGGGCGGTGTTTCCTCCTTCAGAATCTCATACCAATGATGCGAATACAATTCCAGGAAATAGGTCAATAACATCACTGACAGCAAACGGCCCTTCCATGATAATCGAGCAATAGATGTAAATTGAGCATTGTTTAGCTGAATATAGTATAATATAATGCAGACGGATGCCGTATATTCCGGACCATATATAATAATAGCTGGCTGTTGATGAGAATGCATATTTCACATCGCCAAATTCATTCAGCTTTATTAAACTTGATGACTTGAATATAACAAGTTATATGAAATGAGATCTCTCAATACATTCACAAAACCGAACAATCAATATACTGTCTAAAATATTGTATTCAAGACTTAATGAACACACGAACACAAGATTTTGAAGGTGGGTTTAAAATAAAAAGATAAAATGTGATGAAAAGATGAAATTAGTGAATCCATTCTATTGAGACATCATGATGCCTTGTCAGCGTTTCAGAGGCGCCAAATATTTAATGAAACATATGGGTGTGAAGCACAAATAAAAGAAAAAGAATTATGTGCCGCAGAATACTCGTTTACCGCAACAAAAAGTTACCAAAATGACGGCAAGATTGTTATCTCCAATGACTAGTAAACGAATGAAATGCATTGGCAACAAATTTTGCTGCTATGTCACAACACCGAAATTACAAAATTGGCGTGTCTGGGCAAGTCTGGTCTTGTCTCTGCGATAATTGAGCGCAGTTTGTAGCCGCAACAACACCGCTTACTGCACTTTGGCGGTCTTGGGGGCATAACGATAGTGAAACATGTGACGTTAGCGTAATGGGTTATTACATCGGGTATAACTTGTTACTGTCCGGATAAAAAAGGAAATATATTTTTTAATGGTCAGGGACGCAAAGGGAATGATGTTTTTAGAAGAAACCGAAATGCGATTCGCGTTTTCAATGAAACCACATCGTATAAATGATTTAATTTTTATGCTATTTTGTGACAAAATAGTCATTAAGCAGTAAAAAAGGAGGTATTCACAGACAACAATTAGTCCTAATTCGCGTTTCCCATTTATATTTGTTTGCAGATAAAACAATGAAGTACGGTAAGTTAAAAATTGTTCCCGTCGCCAATTTCAATATGCAAAAAGTCTATATCTAATTAATAAAAAGAATGAATAGCTAGAACTGAATTCACTTAATTTTGTTGCGGAAAATGCAGTTTACCACATCATATGATAGAGTTAACATGAGGAATAATATTAATTGCGCCTGTTATAAATTTTCCTTCTTGCTTGAGCCATTTGGACAGGTAAGCCTTATCGTAACTCTATATGCCTGGAGTCAAATTTTGTGACACAAGTTATTAATTTTGGGATACTACTTTGCATAAACATATGGACCAGAATTAAAAAAATATATATTCAAAATTACAAAATTTGGTGTCAAGTGGATGCAGGGACACTCACAATTTAAGATTAATTAGATATAACTGTTTGGGGCTTACAATGAATTATGGTCAGATCTACAAAATCATATAATAACCTATAACATACTGGGAGAGTAACACATAAGTAAATGATCAACCGAACATCAGCTCTTGGCTGAGCATAACATAGCAATAGTAAAAATACATATTATCAAATTTGTAATTTATCAACTGATATGGAATCAATATGAGTACCATATGTTGCCAGACGCAGAATGTAATGAACTGTATCCAGAATTAGTGCCTGTTATTAATCAAGAGGTTAATTTATGATGAAAGTCAGCATAGAGTACACTTACCACTGTATAATACACCAGGTGCTTTTCTTTTCGCTGATTCTTTAACAACATTTTGATTTGCATCCTTCTCATCTGAAGAATTGGGTCTTTCATTCACATCACTGTCATTCGAAGGAGATGACAAAAAGCTTAATTCGTCCAATGAGGACTTTTCTGTATCAGAAGCTGGAGCTGTTGGTTCTGAAGGTGAACTTCTAACCAAACTTGTCACATTTTCTTCGGTTGATGCAGATGAACTAGGTAGATGAGATACGCTTCGACTTGTTGTGGGTTCCGTATCAGTCTTTTTAATTTTCACCCACTGGTAACGACCAGTTAAAGGAGTCTCATTTTCTATTTTAAAATTCCATCGCTTTTCAAAAGCTTCAGCAGATTTTCTTTCTTCTTCTTTTACTTGCGCTGTCAAATCTTGATTTAGAGTTTCATGATCTTCACGGCCAAACAAGCAACGTCTTGGCCCTCTTCCCCCGTTTTCAGTCATGGTTTTGCTTCTTTTTTTTTACATGTCAACCCCTTTTATGGCCAGGATTCTTGTAGTTGTTGGAAATTTTTGTATTGTGCAATCAAAACTTGGTCAGGAAAATATCAGTAAAACAAAATGGTCCTGATTTGATCACAGTGAACAAATTCTTTGGTAATTTTTTAGACTTCCTGCTGTCAATTCAGGATATTTCCTAGTATTGAAGTGTACTGATAGTCCATTTTTATTTAGGTTCACAATAGGTGAAATGGAAATGAATTTAACTATATTTCAGAACAAATAAATAAAAAGTAAGATCAATTCAGCATAAAATGGATTTTTTATAGGTAATTTGTCCAAATTTTGACTGAATCACTTTTAGACACAAGCCATACTGTGAGAAAAGAGTTCTTTTAATTAATTAAGAGCCATATACCTATTTAGTGTAATGTATAAAAATTATTTGAGGATGTTGTATATTAAATACCTTCAAAATACTTAAGCAATTATGAGCATTGAGAACCATAGACTTCAAGAATCAGTGATATATAATATCCCCAAAACTAATACGTGCATTTTCAAATTTGGAACTTGGAATAATATATATATATTTGATACAATATTTCATGTGCATTTCACTCTGAACAAGGGTCTGTGTAAGCAGTACCTTGCAATCACTGCTTGGTAGCTATGCAAAATTAAAATTTATAGAGAATATTTTACAAGGAGTTTTTTACTTGCAGTAAAAACAAGTTTTGCTAAATTATATAATATGAATTTTAGATTTTTCATGAAGTAAAGTTTCGTAGGAACTCTCCCTTTCTTCCAAGTTTCATTGCTTGATAAGGTTATTTCACAGATGTTTTCACTTGGTTGGGTATGAATTGTCTGAACATAGCAGGATTTGAAATTTACTAATCAAAATACCATCGGAATGATAAATGGGGGGGGGGGGTCTTGCGTGCTAAACGCCACTGGAAGGGGGCCGGGCTGAGTCATCACAACTTGTTGAATCTAGTTATAGTAATAATGATGATTGCAAATAGGTACAATAATATGCAAGAGTATGCTGCTGTGCAAGGCATAAACCTGCATATTGTTATTATCATTACCCAGGTCTGCAGGTATCGGTATATCTTAATAGTCTATATTGAAATAGGTTAGTTCAGTAGTTACTGAGATACCATGGTGTTTCACTGTTTCGCAATTTACCATTGTTAATGTATGAATATTCTATACTAGTATACCGGTAATGGTACAGTATCACTTCAATCAGTCAATATAAGTTTTTTAAGCAAACTCATACAGCTGTAAACTGGAAAGAATAGCAGAAAAGGCAGTTAACCATGTACCGGTACGGTACAGATGTAAGCACGATTACCGGTCTGCCGGTAGTCTCAGTTACGGCTTCCTCCACCCAGCCACCATCAAGTCCATGGATCTGAAACAAATACAGAAATAAATGGCTAACCAAATCCATACTCGACATGGACTGTTAACCGGGCGAGAAACTGTGGTTCAACATATGATTAAGCTGTCTTGTCTTATCGCCTCTCCTCTCGTCCGAGATAAATCCTATCCTATAAAATTAACGCAAACAGCAGCTGCGCCTCCCTCCAGCTACTGAGCTAAGCCTCTCAGTCTCATATCAGCATCTGCAAGATACAATACAGTGGAGGGCGATCGCCAGGCGACGTTTTTCGTGCGACGTCCGTCTCTAAGTACATTACTCAAATCCTACCTAATCGATGAGAGGGACAGCCTCACGTCATCCTTTTGTTCAATAGTACCGAGCAAACAAACAAAGCAGCACTAAACCAAGTGTCGGGTTTCACAGGGACGCATTGAAGAGGCATCGTAGCGATTTGATTGGCTAAGCGCTCTTTACAAAAGCAGCGCTCTGAGTATAGTGCCGCGCCCTGCGACGTCTAGTGGATAAACCACAACACAACCATCATTCATTCGATAGAGCCAGGATTTTCACCTGTTCCGGGGGAGAGAGAAGCTGATAAGACGGCTAAATCATATGACGAACCACGGTTTCACGTTCAGTTAACAGTCCATATCGAAAAGAGACTGGTTAACCAATTATTCGTTTCAGTCGCATAGGTTTGGCGATGGAGAAAACCTGCGGTTTAGAACTGCCAGCGCCCGAGAGTTCTCTTGTATGGCAATGAATAGGGGGAAAAGACTTGCATGTGGGTATCGTTAAAATACTCATTTACACAAAGCACAGCGAGAGCCAGACCTGAAGGCAGAGTTCTATATGTGGGGATCGTTAAAACATCTAAAATTCCAAATCCACAAATGCATTTAAGTATCCAAATAGCGTTTAACACTAACAGACACAAAACTCCACCCGCCAATATCATGTACATTGTACACAAATAGATTTATTGCCAATCAACAACATACCAATTTATTCAACTCGAACCTGTACAATATTAAGCAGTAATATAGAGAAGCATAAGTTAAAAAGTATAGACTTGCTTCGTCAAAGGACTAATTTACTGTACAACAAAACGACACACTTTGTCTGAAAATCGCCAATAAACTTATTTTCACTCAATAATTTTCAAGATATATAAATCAACTAAAAAGTGATAGATTCGATCATGAAAAAAACAGGGACATGTTCTGAGATTCAAAACTCTTCAAATATTATACTATTTTTCAAATTTGAACATTAGAAAATCAGCCTGCACCCAACTCGTTTAAACGAAGAGAGATATAATATTTTCTTTACAACCATTACCTACCACTGCAAATTTCAGACCAAATTGTAATCGTAATGCAAAGTGAAGAAAAATGGAAAAAGATATGTACACTGGATGAACTTTACCGATACATATTTAACAAGGTAGAGAGAAAATACTTTTTAAAAGATTGGATGAAAAGAACTTTCCTGGAAGTTTGTAAAATAAGAGCAGATGACGAAAGTAAACAACCGACCAAGTGAGTACCGGGACAATAGTGGGTAAAGGATATCCAAGTGAGACATGATAGTATACTTAAAATATTCATTAGTATTTACAATTACTTGGAAACAAAAATAGGGTAAATAAAAGTATTTACAGGCATACAGCCATTTGGCCCCGTATCAGAGAGAAAAAGCCCTGTTTGCAACGTCTTTACAAGTGGATACGAAGTTCAAAAGCAGGTCCCATGACCTAATAAACTTTACCACCATTTGGACATGTTGGTTCCTAATAGGTGAAACAAGCTAGTTGATAAAACACATTGCAGCTAATACTATATAAGAGCAATGTCACAAATCTGCACTTCAATAAAAAGCTAGATGGGAATAAATGTACAACGGCGATCGCATTCAAAAAATAGATACTGTACACTCTTTTACATTCTTTATACACTATTCACATCGCACGTTTGTACTATTTACTTACCTATGGACAATATTAACAAATTTACACTGCCGCAAGACATCCTGAACCTCAGTACAGGATACTCTTGCAATTGAGGCAGGATGGTTAAGCGTCACTGAGTTGTAGTACTATAAACATACCGCATAAATCATGTAAATTTACATCTTACAAAATGAAAAAATCTGAGCGTGAATATGACTAAGGCACTTTAATATGTTAAAAAATCAACGTTCAGAGCGTAAACACAACAAAGATTCGCATAATATTTACAATCAAAATTCATTCAAAGTGATCGCTCGTTTTATCATAATTCAGCAATGCTTTTATGCTTCTTATATACAGGGCCCCTTTGCCATGGCACGGAAAAATTTTCAGGCATTTGAGAGAAATCGCTATTTTACAACAGGAAAGAAGAATACATTTTGTACTTAGTAAAAGGGAGAAAGCTAACATACACTGTCATAGATGAACAAAAATTAGTTTTTAAAGCAAATCAAAGTACTAAGAAGATCTGGCGTCATCTTTGCCAGGAATTAATATAACACAATCAAAATTCAACCATATACATTATGAACAATTAAGAGCATAAATCAAACTTCTTTATCAGGACATATTTTGTAGTCCATGATATAAATAGCCTACCTTTGGCTATAGCTTAAAGTTATCATCAAATTCACGAGGTGCATTAGCACGCCTCGCAAAGATTTCAGTGATAAATTTGAATGAAGAGTAGTTCACACCGCTTCATTGCTGTTTTTCATAACATTTCATAAATTTTTAAACAATGAGATTATAACATTAACAAATCACAAGGTGGACACATTGAAAAAATTAATGAGTATTTTCATCCATATGTTATTTAGATTCCGTTCCACACTTCCACGAAACAAATTTTAGACCTTGTTCAAGATTTATATCGAAAAATATTCAAATTTAGTTGGACACTTCGTTAACAAACTGTATTGTTGTTTTGTTATAAGTGACTGAGTAGCTGGAAGTATATTACAAAAACGAGGTGTTTTTATATGTAAAAAACTGAAACACACGTTAAACTTATTCAGCATTCTAATAATATTTCAGAATGCATATAGACAAGGGAAGTGATAATTTACAAAAACAATATCGTCATCTGAAAGGTCGTTAATACTCTGTACAGAACACATATAGAATGGGTTGATTAGACGCTCAATTTACCATTTTACACCTAAAAGCCATGTTTGTCATTATATACAAGATAAAAATTGTTCGATATATCATCATCTGTAGAGTTTCATCAACATGATATTTACACAGCACTCTATAGACATTATAGTAAATTACGATGAAAACAAAAACATGATTCCGCTCGAAAGCGAGCGATAATACAACGTTATTTATTATTATTGGTTTGAAGGCATAACATTGCCGCTAATGTCCCGAGGCAAAACAACTGTTGGTGCCCCCAGACTCGGAGAAAGCGTTGTTGAAACAGATCCAGGCGGAGAGGATGTGCTCTTCATGAGAAATTTCTCAAGTTTCGCAATTATGTGTTTGCCGTAGGTAAATTTTCTCAGTTGGGCCATGTGTGGACGAATCTTGTTTATCAGCAACTAAAAAAATATTTTCAAGATAAGTTATAGTTAACATATTTGAGTAACCTTTCCGTAGACTTTTTTATTACAGGAACAAATCTAAAATCAATATCAAAAACAACTGCCTGCAGAACAATGACTGCCAACAGTGATGTTGGAACCCGCATAATAAACAAGGAATGCAACTCTGCAATGTGATGTGCAGCCGGTGTCAGAAGTTTGAATGTTTTTATTGACTCTGGAGTGGCAAATACAAACTCCCCAAAAGTCAAAATGGCCTAGATAGAGCTTGGGAGTTTAGATAGAGCTTGGAGTCAGGCGTAAAATTTACTAAACTTCATTGCCCCGAGAGGTGAGAATAAGCGCAGTATAAAAAAAAAACAATAAATTCAACAAGAACTCACATTTCGTTGTGGAATTTCAGCAACATCTAGCATTTTCTGAACGACATAATTCGCAAATTGATCCTTCATCATGATCACCAAAGCATCATGTTCCTGACAAGCTTCCTCAATCAACATTGCTCGTTCTAGCCGTGATGAGTGACTCACACATTTCTCGACTACATTACTGAAAAGAAATAAAATGCAATATTTCAGTTGGCTATTGTACACTCTAGGGTTGAAATGGGCAAACTACGTCCTGCAGGCCAAATCTGGCCCATTTGTTAATTCAATCTGGCCGCCTGATGCTGCCACAATCGAACTAAAACTAAATTTTCATGTTTTAGCCTAAAAATTGGTTGATATTGCGATTAAATTAAATTTCGCAAGAGAATCATCGTTTCCAAATTTTGCTTTTGCAACACTAAGTATTATTCATAAAATGTAAATTTTTATGTCACACTTACATGGCCCGCCAGTCTGGGTGGACAAAATTTGTAGCCCCTGGTCTAAAAACGCTGCCAACCTCTGCTCTAGAGCAAACCATTTTTATTAACATCTAACTGACAGGCGTTTTCAGTCTAAACCACATGCTTGCTGTATATATAGAGAGGGTTTCTTTATCAATTAAGGGCTGAATTAAGAACTGTTTCTTGGGGTGGAAAAATGCTCATCAAGTTTGGTTAAATAACATGTCGTCGTCGAATACCTAGCATAGTCAAAACAGAAAAAAAATCCTTCAGCCCTTGGCTTTAACCGAGACACACTAAATACATATTTGTTACATGTGATTCGATTTTAGTATTACATTATTCGACTGTTTCATTTTGCTGTTTGCTGTGAGAACAGCATTATTTTCTGCAATGGGAAAGCAAAAATAGATTGAATATATTAAAAGGATGCGAAAAACAAAGGGGTTGAAAACCACTGATATAGAGCTAATAGAGGTGTCGATGTCTAACCTAAATATCAAAATATCAGTCGACAATTTCAGGCAAGATAGTACATAAAAAAGCGAGACAACTAACTACAAGACAAGAAAAAAAGGTATAGCCTGTCCTTAGCCCAAAATAACTCAAGCTTCTATGGAAAATGAAATCCTAATATCAGCTTACGGAAGATGATGGAAATGCAATAGATTGTTAGAAGCACAGCAACGTAAACCGGAATCAATTTCAGCAGGTTTACACTGTTGCACTTTCAACAAAATGAGCTAAGTTGTCGAAAAGCTGGTTATACACTAACTAAATAACTGAACAAACAAAAAAGAAAACTAACTTAGTGCATTATTTTTAGAGGGAAAGATATAAAACATGAATATTTAGCCTGACCTCTGATTTGAACAGTCAATACAAAGTACACAATAATAATCCTCGAAAATAAAAAATTCAGACTATATGTATAAAATAATTGTCTGAATAAAAATTTGAATGCATTCATTCTCGGACCAAAGTCACATCCGAACGTACCAAAAAAACCCTCAAATTTCAATAACGTTTTATAGAATGCTTGAGACTCCACTGCTATTGGAGTCTTGTGACTAAATTTATTACACCCTAGGGGAGATGGGAAGACATGGGGTTTGAGCCCTAGATGCGAAGTCTGCGATGCCATCTAACGCTTTATTAACAGCTATGCCATTTCGCCACTGTCAACTAGTCTCAGTAAGAGAGAGTTGTGTGCATCATTTGATCAGACACACAAGTGATCATCACAGACTAGTCAGCAATGTGAGTAAATAGCAATTAGCCCTCAGTTATTTGAGTTATTACATATTTGGGCGAGCAACTATTCTGCACTAGTACAAATTATCTTCAGATTATCTGCAAACCAAATTCAAAAAAATTTGAATGCATTCATTCTCGAACCAAAGTCAGATCCAAACGTATATAAAAGAGCGTATATAAAGAATTTCAATAACGTATAATAGAATACTCAGGTAATCAACAGATTATTGAACACTGTTTTCACAATTAGAGATGAAAATACAATAATACGGAATAAACCTTAAAACCGAACTTACCTTGCAAACTTGTGTTGACTCAACTTCAGAACTTTGCCAGTGAGTCCTAACACTATTTTGCTTTTATTTTCCGGTCGTCCATGTTCAAGTATATGTTGAATAACGTAATTCCCATACTGATCAATGACTAATGTCTCAGCATGCTGCAAAAAATACAAAGTGAAATCATTTGAACAAAATTCAGTGTTGCTGCTATTCGATCTAATTTCAGTGAAAGTTATCGTTCTTGGAGTGAAAGTCAGGAATAATATCAAACTTGCTGAACGTTTAGTTTTTTTGGTACTACCGTAGTACTAGTGTGTGTAACAGATAGGGTTAGACCGGCCATAATTTTATTCCAATTTTCCTTATTTAAGTTCTATTACGAGTTCGGGGACTGTCTGTGTTAACAAAGTGAATAAACCCCCTGCCCATAGGTTTCAGTTCCTTTACACAATTTGATGTAAAGTAGACAAACAAAATTAATTACCTCCCTATTGGTACACACACTTCTGGAACGCATTTTTTTTAAAACTTTATTACTATACACTTTATAAAAAGCTTGTCTAGTGTTAATGAGTTTCCCCGCCTTAAATCCCCGGCAATGAAGTAAACTTACTTGATGTAGTTCTTCTAAAATTGGAACAGTTTGTTCTACAGCACAATGTTCCAGGATTCTCTGCATCACACGACATCCATAAGGATGCATAGATAACAAGATTACCTAAAATAAGGTACAAAATGGTGTCAGTCAAGTATGTTTTAAAAAAACCGATAAAACTAATTAAAGCATAGCCACAGCTGTAAGTAACAAAGAGCATAGTTGAAATATGAATGTAATGCAGATTTTGGCAATTAGGAGGTATCCCATACTTTTGCTGAGAAATTAGTCACTTTTATTACTAAGTGTGATCTTCACCCGACCAAATTTTCTTCTTTAAAAATATCATACTATCGGGAATAATTATTATAAATTATATATTGAGTGATTTAAGAGTCTTGCTGCACACTAACACAAATATATTTCTGTAACGTTTCGTCTGACCAATGTCAGACTTCCTCAGACATACATAGTTCACATAGGTCAAACAAAACGTTACAAAAATATATTTATGTTAGTGTGCAGCAAGACTCTTAAATCACTTAGAATAGCTATCACTCTATTCACTCTTGCTACAGCATCCTTGCATACAAATCCACCAGCGCAAAAACATAGAAGACAGAGAAGTAGTTAGGTATTGCGGAAACCCAATCGAAATCATATATTAATTTGAAAATAGATAAGAATATACCTGCCCTTTGAATGCATCGATTATGAACTGTAGGTGGGCGGGTTGCACGCATTCTATACACTTTTGAACGACATGATTTCCATTCTGATCTTTCACACATTTTACTAAATGACCATCAAGCTCCTTGACAATTTCAACCTATGGAAATAATAATAAAATTAAGAATCTATGCAAACATAACTAAGCTAAGATCTAAATAGAGTACAAATTTAGCATATTTATACCTCAGAATTGCTATTTTCAAATCAGCGTTTCATAAAGGACGCAGCAATATCATCACTGGTACGAATGTGAAATAATCCTACATAAAAAAAAGATTATCGAACCTGCTCTTCTTGTGGAATACATTCCAATGCTTTCTGGATAACTCGGCAGCCGTACATTTGTAGAGCAAGAGGTAGTACATGACCCCTGATACATTTTGCAAGTGCAAGCTTCTGTTCCTAAAGGTACATGAAAATTTTTGTGACAATTGTCATGAAAAATAGCAGTGTCTTTTGTTTCGTTTTTGATTCTGTATTGCCAAAATTTTTTTCAACTGATTTTTCTACAAGACACCTATTAACTTCTTTCACTCAAAACATGGCCCGATTAAAGCAACGACTGATATCTAATAATATGCTAAAAAGCTCAAATTTTTTTTAGCTGAAATTCAAAGAATTTTTTGACCTGGAGGATGAGTTGATTGTAAACCTGACCCCACAGCTTTTGAGTCTTGTGAGTTAATTCAGCATAACCTACTCAATTTATTACACCATAGGTGAGATGGGGAGACGTGGGATTCGAATCCCAAATGTGGAGTCTGCCATCTGCCATGCCAACACATTTAAGTCTGACAGCGAGGCCATTACGCCACTGTAAACTAGTCTCAGTAAGAGAGAGTTGTGTGCATCATTTAATCAGACACAAGTGATCATCACAGACTAGTTAGCAATGTGAATAAATATCAATTAAGCCTCAATTATATGACTTTTACATATTTGGGCAGTTAACTATAATGCACTAAGTAATAATTGTATTTCAGATTACCTGTGAACCAAATTCAAAAAACTTCTGAATGACATAATTGCCAAATACGTCAGTCATCAACTGGTAAGCGGCTCTTGCGATTTCATTGAAAACCATTTGTTTTTCTTGAGGTGTTGCGCGTTCCAATTTCTGTTGAATGAATCTGCAAAAATATTATTACATATTATTCATGTTTTGAAAAGTCACAAAAAACTAATCTACTACGAAGCCGAGAAAATAATATTTAGACAAATATGACAGTCAATTGTGCATCAGATACAAATAGACATCAATAAATTTCAGCAGTATCCATTGGTAATAGTTACATCATATGCACAAAAGATCATATTATTCAGTATGAACAAACCATGGCAGCGGGGACTAGGTCCGAGTTTATACAGATATTGTAGACATATCTCCAAACTTCCCGGGATCGGATTCAGAACTCGTATGAAAATAATAATAAAAAAACCTTGAACCGTGCTGATCCCTTGAAAATTCGACAATGTGGTTAGCGAGATCTCTCAGTTGAGGATTAGGAAAACGATTATTTCTGAAATCATCCAGCAATCGACTACGACCTTGTGCCATAAACATATCTTTAGCCGAAACGGGTCTAAAAATGAAAACAAAACTTTATCTCAAACTAGTTCAGCAGATCACACAAATTTACTTCCCAGTTCGATTTGTAAATTTTGAATAAATTAAAATGAAACGAATGCTCAATGTGCTACATTTAAACTTTATTATTAAGATTTTACCACTTTCCAATTCAATAATTTTTTTTTATGAATTGATCACTTGAATACTAGAGGATATTGGTAAGACCCAAAGAAATTTGGGCCAGCATTTGCCTACACCAATTTCAGCCTAGCACTAATTGGGACTAGAATAGAAAAAGTTGGTACCTTATTCTTGTAGGTGGAAACAAGGAGCTGCCAGAACTTCCAAAAATATTAGAAGACATCATGGATCCATTCCGAAACTTTGCTTCCGCACCTGGTGCAGCAGAAAACATCCTATTGCTCCCTGTAACGGATATGAAGGTGTTGAAACTAAAATTTTTTTTGAGGTGATTTTTAGTTAAGAAAAAAATAATTCGTGGAATTATAAGTTGAAAATCTGAACATTGAAAAACTAAAGTTGGAATAGCCTCAGATGTATTAGCAATATTTTTCTTAAACACAAGATATTCATAAAGGTCGAAGAATATTTTCATCATCACTGGCTTATACTAGGTATAACTAAAAATTGCAGAAAAATAGTATTTTAATGTAAATTATCAATTCTATATCATAATCAAATCTGCTATATCCGTCAAAATGTAACTAATAAATATTGAAATTTAAATAAAATTTAAAATTAATCTAACACCTCAACAGATTTTGATTAGAATAAATTATATATACTTTAATAAAAATATAGAATGAATATTACAAATTGCAATTACAATCCTAGTAAGCTATGACAGATAAATCAATTTCTTTTAACCTATGATGAATGTTAATACCTGAATTTTTGTATGTAAGGTCTTATGAATGTACTCCAATTAAGGCTTTGCGCAAGCAGCCATTCTCCATTTTTTAGAGAATCTAAATATTTCAGTCTCGACATTACCTGCTCAATTTAATTTCACCCTAAATGTATCGTTGGAATCCCAATCAAATAAGCAACCCACCCAGAAAACCACTTGGCGATGACAATGGTGGTGGACTCATACTATGATGACTGTGGGCAGTGCCCACCATTCCTCCCAGAGGTCCAGGAGATGGAGAGATGGCCCCGATTCCCATGCCGGTGCTGCCAGGTGACATTCCAAATGAGTTATAGAATTGTGACATTGGGCCGCTGTACGGATGCTTAGCGTATTCCGAAAATGAGTCTCTTCGTTGGGGAGTGGAACTCTGACTTCCCATAGCTGAATGAAAAACAAGCACATTTGGCAAGAATCCAGATATGTATTTTAATCAACCAAGAAAATGTTGAGCAGTCTTGTTGATATGTTTCAAAAATAAGGTAATAGGTTATAAAATTGGGGAATTGTGGAGTCAGTATTTGACAGGGAGTCAAATTTTCTACCTCCCTGGAGTCAGGAGTCTGAGCTTAAATTCTGATTTCCCCGGAGTCTGGTGTTGGGACTTTCGATGGTGGTAAGCAAAGTTAATATTTTCCACATATTCAAACAGCATTAAGTTTACAACTGTTAAGCGCTCCTAACATTCTCTTAATAAAGACTTGCCTATGCTAAAGTTATTATCAAAACTTGAATTTTTGGGGTTTAAAGCTGGAATCAAAATTTTTCACAAACTGGAATCGAGAGTCAATGGTATATTTCTCCAGACTCCACAGCCTTGGGGGAAAACAGTATTCACTAGAAAAATATACTATCAGTATTTCGCATTTTCAAGTTCAACCTATGGAAATAAGAGTGAAATTAAGAATTTATGCAAGACTTAACTGAGCTAAGAGCTAAATAGAGTACAAATTTACTATATTAATACCTCAGAATTGCTATTTTCAAATCAGTGTTTCATAAAGGACGCAGCAATATCATCACAGGTACCAATGTGGAATAATCTTACAGAAAATAAAAAAATTGCCGAATCTGCTCTTCTTGTGGAATACATTCCAATGCTTTCAGGATAACTCGACAGACAGCCGTACATTTATAAAGCCAGAGGTAGTACATGACCCCTGATCCAGAATAAAAATATTCACAAGACAAAATAGATACTAAAGAAACAACACTCACTTGATCCTAATGATCCCAAGCCACCCAGTCCACCAAAGGTACCTAATCCACCATGTGGTCCAACCGGTGTGTAAGCTCCATGACCAGGGGCAGGCACAGGAGTACTCCCACCACTTATTGTTGGACTTGTGTACAATGCACCAGGCGTCTGACCTGAATTTAATAGATTGATCAAAATAGTAGTTACCATTCAAACATATATTCACTAGATGAATTTATTGAATATCATGTCTTCCAACCAAAGGAATCTATTTAATCCATCCCAGGATTTTCATAAGGAGGGAGTTTCAATATAGGAACTTCCCATGCAACGGCTTTTGAAACAGCTGCAGAGATTATGCCACTTGATGAAGCGATTAATACACACATTATGAGATAATTTCAAAATAATCATTTCGTTTCAAAATGGAAAAGCGCCCACTGAAAGGTGCAAAAAGCTGATTACAGAACCTGAGTAACAGGTCAAATTTCAACTGTTACGTATCTTCAACTTACTGCTCATCGGCCATTGTTACAATTGAAAAAAGTGAATTTGACATTGTGTGAAAACCTCCATTACAAAAACAAAACAAGTAACATTCATTGGTTGACAATTGCACTGAAGATCTCAACTAATGTCTTTCTATATTTGTCCTCACAACCCATGAAAGAAACTCCTCAATTCCCAGACAAAGTTTAAATTTCCAAAATCAAAATATCTTACTGTGTTGAGATCCATTCATAAACATTGGGCCAGCAACTCCAGGAGCAAACAAACGAACAGGACCGCTGTTATATCTTCCATTGTTGACAATAAGGGCTCCCGTCTGATCATAATACGCAGTTGGGATCATCTGATATCCAGAACCTTATATAAAGGTAAACAAATTATTTTCACAATATATATATACCAATATAGTGTGGGATTTCGGAGACGACTTTAGTTTTTTAGAAGTTACATATAAAAAGTTGGGAGATGATAAATATGGTTACACTTACATCTAAATAGAGAAAATATACTATACGGATACACAAAATTGCGATTTGGATAGAATTTGTTATTCTACACTTTGACACTCAATAATAGCTTAAAAAAGTATGGTAATTTGAAATGGCTCGCTTCATATTTCTTTTTTAAAAGTTACAGACATAACTGCAATATAAATGCCGCAATGTCACACTCACCAGACATAGCCATAGCAGGATTTATTCCTTGTCCTGCCAAAGCCGCACTGGTCAACATATCTTGATAAATAGGAGGTTGAGCCCCAGACTGTATATCTCCACTTTCTGCTTGAGGCGCAGACGGGGTGCCCGATCTTTGGGTCATTGCCTCAGCTTGTGTGGCTCTAGTTGAATTGGTGGGATTTGGACTCGAGCTTAGTTGGGAAGCAGCTGCGGTGGCAGCAATTTGTGGGGTTATCATTGGAGGATATGCAACATTGGGCCATGCAGCGTACGCCGGATATTGTGGCATCATTGGAAATTGTCCTGCCGTAGCTGGATCCGGAAAAGCTATAAATACAATGTTATGGAAGACGTTTTGTTTTCAGATATATTCAGCTACATATTCAATTGAGCCTCAAGCAATGCTTCACCAAAGCAGTCACTCAGGGGTAACTGTTTCAGAAAAAGGAGGGATCTTTGAAGTTTTCCACAAGCATATCCAATTAATTACACACATCTAATCCCTGAGTCCAAAAAAAAATGCTGAAACTTACCCCCTGCATTAGGTGCAGCAATGACATAAGGATTTGGTAAAAACACTCCTGGCATTGCAGCAAGTTGTTGCTGCTGAGCGAGAAAGTATTGCTGCTGCATTGCAAGTTGAACAGCCAGTGACTGTAAAAGAATTTTAGATTGTTTAGAAAATTAGATTTCAAGCTGAATATGTGGAAAATATGAGCTGTACCTACTATACTATACAACTATACAAATAACATAGTACATTATGGAAAACAGTTCTACACAGTTTACAAATTTACTTACAGTTATAGCAAGAAAGTAGAAATGCTTTATAAATGTAGAAATTGTAAATACCTCGAGAATGTACACCGGTTGAATTTGCAAATTATTTCAACATATCAATATAAAACATTCAACCATTGAAGCATGCTATTTTATGTCTAATTACTATGATATGAAAATATAGCTGCTCATTAAAATCACTAATTCCCGTGACACGCAGGGTTGTCCAAAACATATCGAATACTTTTTCAGCTAATATTGAACAATTCCGGATAATGGCCACTTTTCGCCGTTAGCAAGGTGAATATTGAATATAAAACTTTCGACTGTATTCGATATAGTGAATTATTCAGTATTGGCCATCCCTGGTTACACATTTTATCATTAAATTTTGAAAAAGTGCATATTATACATCCTAATCACCTCAACACATCAGTCCATATGTTATATATCGGTGTTATGGTGTCATAGATTTTTGCATCAATAAAGTTTAATAATAATTGAAAAGCAGAAACTATAGTGAGTAATAGCTAATTTGAATAAAAATGTTTAAACGCTTAATACATAAGAGATTCAGTCAGTATATACCAACGAAGCTGATAATTCAGTAGTTCGGTTGTCTGCAAAATATTTTTTTTCGTTACGATAATCCATGATAATCTTAATCAACAGCTGAAGAAATTGTTATCTGATAGTCTTAAAATACTTGATAGATTTTTACTGGTTCAAAGCAGTCAACTGTCTTTTTTTTTGAATGAATACATTTTTGCTGAGCGAGTTTCTTTAAATTTGAACGATTTTTCGTTTTCAAGCGAATATTCATAAAATCATACATAATTTTACAAAAAATTGAAGTTATTTTCAAAAATCCTACATCAGATTAAAATTATGAAAACCGTACTTGTTGTTGAGCGTTATAATCCAAATTGAGTTGACTCATCTGTTGTTGCAAAACTCCATCAATAGATGTGTTCGCAGATTGACCTTCTGACTGACCAAACTCAACATCACCAGCAACAGGAAATGTGCTCATTTGTGGCTGTTCCGTGGTTCCGGTATTGTCAGATGAACTAGTGACTGGTGCTATACTTCCACCTAATAATAAAAAATTATGAAAATTTTCCATTTGATTTCGCTAGAAATAAATCGCACATTAACTGTCCATGCTTCTGTAAACTGAAAATCAAATTGAATTAATCGACCAGAAAGGACCAACTATTAATAGGATATTTAGGTACTGGGACAAGATATATTGAAAGTAGAAGAGAAATTAGTATCTACAAAGTCCCTCTACCAGCCATCAGCCGAACAGAAGTGATCAGGTCTGTGGTGTCGGAGGTTTAAGATGTTTTTATTGATATCGGAGCAGGAGTCGGGAATCAAAATTTTGAATTCTTTGAAGCCAGAATTAGACTTCCAATAGTGATTATCAATAATAAAATTTCCGACCATAACTTAAGTATGATAAGTATTAAGAAGTTAACAAAGCATCTTTATTAGGCTTGCATATACCAGAATGTTTATGGAGTGGAGTCAAAATTTTTGTCAGTTTAGTGTTTTGTAAATAGTTCTTTAGCCGAAAAGAGCCCCAGCTCCATAGCACCCACAGCGACTCTGATTGTCTCAAGGCTACATAAGTCCTCTCAGGTATTCCATAATCGTTGTGAACATAGCAACCATAACAAATATTAAAATAATGGTGAAAATATCATTAAAAAAATTAGTCTCACCAGCAGATGCATTTTCAGGTGAATCTGAATTCTGACTCTGAGGAGCCTGATCAGTAAGCTGAGAACTGCTTGCAGTTACTTGTACTGTTGCACTACTGGAAACAGCCGAAGGAACTGTTTGAGCCAAGATTGATTGTAATTGCTGTTGATTTGCAGACAGCCTGTGTGCTTTAAGTTCATCCTCTGTTGGAGAATTGTCACGGCTACTTCCAGTTCTACCAAAAGAAAACAATTTTTTTCATTTCTCCACAGGATGTTCAAGCCAACAATCATGTATGAACAAAATCCTATACCTTGTGCTCTCTGAACTGGATGTTTTCTGCTCGGAACTAACTCCTTGTATCTTTCCCATTTGGCCAGAAACTGGGTTTGAAGCACCATTGTTGTTGCCACCACTAGTTACCAGAGCAGACGCCTGAAAGAAATGCTTGTTAGACAGCGATATACCAAATTATGACGGTTTTTTCTTTTGTTTTGAACTGAGCCCATAGAATAGTAGTCTGCTGGCTATAAACAGAAGCCTACATTAGGTACCATTCCCCATGGCCAGGGATGGCCATTTCCGAATACTAAACTATTCCGAATACATTCTAAAATAATGTTTTCGAATCTGGAATTCCGAATACATTCTAAAATCGAAAATAACACATTTTTGTTTAATTTATTAAAACCCAGTAAATTAGGAAATAAGCTTCAAAGAAAATATCAGAATAAAGCCACAAACCAACAATATATGTACACAAGATAATTGATAGTTTATAGCTATCAATAAAAATAATAGCAACTTGTGACACAGTCAGTTTAATAAAATTATTCACTTTGTACAAATGACCATATGAAAAGATATAGCCAAGGAGTTGTCTGACGCTTTCTATCATTGGTACCATGATATTATGATAATAGTCAAGTCTGTTGACAAAAATACTACTTGTATTCAGATAATTGTGTATATTTTCTGAGAGTAATAAAATTTATTGGCAATACAGGCAACTGAAACAAGCAACAACAATCGAAAATCCATTATGCCTTTAAAAATTCTAATATATATTTAAGCATAGAGTATTCTACTACCTACCAGTATATTTGTATATTAATTTATGTGAACCATATTGTTATTATGTGTAACATATTGTTGTGTTTGAAGTTAGAAATAAATTAGTAGAGGATAAATGACCACCACTGCCAGCCCGAGCTCGTTAAAAGAGCCGTATTTTCAGCGTATAATGATAATCCTGTTACGTAAAATATTCAATCCATGACAACTACGAGTTTCTAAAATATCTTTATATATTAATTTAATGTGTCCAACGTCACTCGCGGTTGCTTCTTCTTACGTCAAAAAAAAACATTACTATTCGGTCCACGGCGATCTGTGACCTAAAAGTACGAGATAAACTGCCTGATGTATTTAATTTTAATACGTAATTTTTCAATCTTGCCAACTCGTTATCGCCGTTAGAAAAATCTCAAATAATGATATAAAATCCTGTTAAGTGCAGAGTATAATTCATTTCATACAATGAATATAAATATAAAGTTTAGCAGTAAATTGAAAATACGTATTCATCGCCGCGATTATGCCACCTGTTAAAAGAGTCGACTTTTACAAAAAATAATATAACAATATATAATCTTCTGTTGTGCAAAGTGATGAATTCGTGACCGATACGGGCATATTTAAAATGTCTTGCTTCATTATTAAGTTAATTGTCTTCAATTTAACCTGCGATTGCGTCGACAAAATAAAATCCTCACCACTCTTATATACCATTGCAATCCGCGGTCATAAAAATAAAAACGTGTGGTAAACTGCCCGATTAAATAATGTTTTGATCCGTATTTTGCGAATTCGGCAAATATTTAGATGTACTTGTTAACAGTGTCTCCACTCAATCGAAATCCTGCCATTATTTTTAGATAAAATCGTTCGAAAAATCCGTAAATCTTCTGTAACATCATCTCGGAGTGAAATTTATTTCATCAAAATAAAATTGATTAAATATACTTTGAAAATATTCGACGGCAATTTAAAGTAATGGATAATCAGGCAAATCCCGCCCTCAATTCGTGACGATATGTTTCTAAACGCTGACCAAACATAATGTGTGCCCGAGGCACACGAAATTTTGCGATTTTCACTGCCTAGAAAAGCGTTTTCCAAATTTTCGAGGGCCTCAATAAAACTTATATTGTGTACGGTTTTATTTTTAGTATTTTAAATTGCCGCTTTTCAATCAAAAAGTTGCGTTGTCTTTAGAAACTCACCGCCGATGAACATATTTACCAGATTCACAATTCCGTGCGCGTACAAAAATAAAATAATTGTCTTCGTCACGTGGAACAAATTTGTGGAAAATTTTCGTTTTAGAGAAAATAACACAAACGTAAAGGCGTTTACGGCCTAAATAACACGTTACGCTGATGAGTGATGAAAACAATCACGCGCAAGTTTCTATCGAAAATGTTTTCTTTCAACGGAAACGTCTTGAGAGCGGCGTCGAAAATGTGTGACGTCACACAAATATCCGATATTCTTATGAACGCTAATTCCGATATTCGAATGACGAGATATTCGAATACATTCGAATACTTTATTCGAATTGGCCATCCCTGCCCATGGCTATATTGATTAAAGTAAAACTGCCATAGTTTTTTATTTATTTGTGACTGAAAGTAATGCATTCATTCCTTTGCTTTTGTTGGTTTGCTTTTATTATCAACTGTGCATAAAATAATTAATGAAAAGTTCAATTCAGAATTGGGTACTTTTCAAATAAAGCCATGGGTCAAGTGCTGCGAGTCTATAGAAGGGGGTCGTAGATCATAGAAGTTTGAGAACCACCGATTTGAACAAACATCAGTAAAGGGTTTTGAAATTAGCATACAGATTTTGGGATTAATCACAAGCTTATTTTTTTTCTATTTAATCACTAAAACCAACATAAATCGAAATATTCCGCAGGCTACAAGTTGTTAAACAGGGTGTAATCTCCTCACTCGACAAGGACTTTTTCATTCAAACCCTTTTTATGAATTCCAACAAAAAATAAGAATAACATATGCTCTAATCAGGTGTCCGTTCGGCATAGGCCAGGATAATAAATGGCTAAATAACAATAAGTAGAAACAGCATCTTACAAAAGCAGACTGGTTCATCAAGCTGGATGTATCACCTACAGAACCACCAAGTACATAATCAGCAATGTTGAATCCCAATGCAGCAGACGAGTGTGTTGCCAAGCCGATAGGATTACTTCCAGAGTCTGATGTACTGAAGCTGCCTGAAATTGAGCATTACAAATTTCAATAAATTATATATAGTTCAATATTCTTCAGGTGAAACTATTGATTTTTGAGAAAATTTGACATAAAGGATGGTTTTATTACAAAACAGACTGTTCCTAAAATGAAAATGATTGCATATAAGAATTCTAGAATATGAATGGGCGGTAAAACCAAATTGTTCATTTTTATTCAAAATTTGCTCCAAGCCTGGTCACAGGGTGTAGCTAGGGATTTTTAAGGGAGGGAGGGTTTCTGAAATTCCTAATAGCCAAATTGGACTGTAACATCTAATGGATCCGGCCGGAAAACATGGGTTTTCAAGAGGGTCTAAAAAGCGTTTCAAGATACAAAATAGTAGGAATTACATCATACTTGATATTCTTTTATTGCTTGTGTTGGAGCAATCGAGATGTACCACTGATTAAAAAACCCTCAATTTACAATTACCTGTAAGTAAATTTGCTGAAGAGGTCATTGGTAAAGATGGATTATTTGATGGAGTTTTTTCTGTTGGACTTGGTTGGCCCCATGGAGCGCCACCTGATTCTCTGCCCCATTGCTTTGTACCTAGTAATGAAGCTCGATCAGAAGTTCCACCTGTTGAATTTCCATTGTCAATGTTCCACAATTTTGTACCAGCAGAATTCTGCAAATATGAGATCCAACAATAAATTAAAATATCATATAAATGGCAGTAACTATGATATAAAATACACAGAGCAAATCCTTTTTAGTTGACACATTTATATGGATTATGGCGTTTAAATCGGAGTTTCGACCCTGTGATATCATCATAGATAACTCTGATGCTTGGTGCACTATGCCAGCGCACTCTTTGAATGTCGAAACAGTATAAAAGCTGATTATTTGTAAAGCCGACAGAAATTAAATAACACATGCCAGTAAGATTGGGAAGTCATTTTATGATATTAAATTGATAAGTTTTTCCATATGGAGCCAAGGACAAAAAGCCGGGCATTATTTTTTCTTATAGACAAAAACGCTTTGCACAATATTAGTTGATGGACCAGGCATGCATGATTGCAGTACAAAAAAAAGTAAAATAAACATAAAAATAGTAAAATTAATCAAGATATAAAGTATATGCAAGATTGAAATTATCATAGATTAGTTATGACTGTTCACTTAACCAATATAGCCAAGAACACAAAATTGCAGGAACTTGTGCAAAGATTGATGTAGGGTTATGAAATGACAACATTTGCAGCTTAGGGGCCTACAGATCAATATTTTCCTGGAATAACTTCCAATTTTGTCAAATGGAATCTATGGCAGACTGGCTTATAACTCTTTTTCCACCATTTTAGATCCATCGAGAATTTTTTTTAATTAAAGATTGAATGGAAATGAATTAAGGCAATCTATTCGCATCTTGTATAACACATGCATTAGTTCTATATACAGTGATACCTCGATACTCGAACGATTCGGTAGTCTATCAAAATATTCTCGTCAAAAATACTTCGGTGCTCGAACACCTCGCAGAGTGAGATGAAGTTATTGCACACAAAAAACTAATCCCATAAAGCCCCTTCCCCTGCCAGAAATTAGCTCAAATGTACAGCAACTAATCGCTTTTTTTATAGTTCTATCTTCATTATGTTCAATCCTCATTATGTACACATTTAAATATTTATTGTTCTACAGGTACACGTTTTGTTAATATTTTAGGTATTTTGGAATGCGTAAGAACGAATTAAAATAATTATCATTGTTTCTTATAGCAAAAGAAGTTTTGGTAGTCTAACAAATCTGTAGCCTAACACAAATCCAAAAAAAAATATGTTCGACTACCGATGTATCGCTATATAACAATGCACACACATAAATGCACAATCGATAAAACGTACAGAATAGTTAGAGACACCACTCCAAGATGTTTGTGAGTGGTTATTTATTGTTGTCGAAGCAGGATTGGTGAGGGAATACATGGATGTGGGATCGTCTTGGGAAATAATCTGAAATAAGAATTTACATTGCTAACATCATGGTACACCTTCTTTTAAAAATTTGTATTCAATGTAAGGTGCAATTTTTTTAATTTGGAAATCCTTGTTAGCATAAAACAAAGGGCTTGATAATACATCTAACAAATGATATCAAAAGTTATTTATTGTTCCATAACTGTGACATTGGATCAAGCTATTCTTGCACAAATTATGTAAGGTAATCGTGTGCATCATGTGTTCTTCTCACGCATCGAGCTTCCTGCTTCAGAGATGCGCATACATTTCTTGATGTTGCAGAATATAGCTGTTAATCAGGAGTGGAAGAAATGTGGCATACTGCTTGTCAATAATCTAAAAGGAAAACTCGCGAATGCTATGGTGCAAATCAAAGAGTAATTCAGTGGCGACGTTTTTAGATTGCATTTTCTTATTGCGTGGTGCCGGGTTGAGCCCATATAGAGTCCCAGACTGTCTCGTAAAGGAGGAATTTCCACTCACTGTTATAACTGTATAAATTCTAACTTTATATCTGTATATTGCACTACCGTAAAACCAGGTAACTTTGGATGAAATATTCAATTGTTTATATCTCGACTAGATTGCGTCATATTGTGCCTATGACAGTTTCTATAGTGAAGACTTATATATCTAAATCTGTTATCATATTCAATCGCGCAGTTTAATTCATTTTATGATCAAAAAAATCACGTTTTAGCATAAAATTGACACTCCGTTTTCGAACGGCTCAAATCGTGACTTCTACTGATGCTAACTTCGTCAAAATAGCGTCATTCGATAGAGGGCGTTATCAATGTATATAGAAAATTAGACTGATCGCGAGGTGTCGTATGAAACCCGATAAAAAATTAGAATTTGAATAATTTTTTTTTTATCACAATAATAGCACCTGGCGCAAACGTTGAACTTGACGTCACCCGAATGTCGCTCACTTCGAGGACGACATCATGTTGCATCGCCGTTACAGGTTTGACGTCAGACATTCGGGAGCCGACGAGTTGTCGTGGATTTGAAAATAACAACGATATTTTGTTCGATTAATCAATATCGGCAAAATATACGCATCAACCATTTTCTGTGGATCGTAAATTCATGGCGTCAAATGCTTGAAATGTAATTCAATTAAATTTATAAAAAATGGCAATTAATGAAAAGCATATTCATTCGATTTGACGATTTCAAATTTCTCCATTTGGTACGGCAACATGGTTCAAAATAGAAAAATTGTGAGCAGTCGAGAAATATTGCGTAAATATAAAAATATATAACCAGCGATAAATACCAACAATCATTGTTGCAAGTGAGTTCCGTTCCGTGAATTTAACGAAAGTAATTTTAATAAAGTTGCCAATTGCCAAATCGGTGTTTTGTCGTGATTCATGCACGGCCGACATTTAAATAGGTCAATTTAATAAAGAGTGCTGTCATGTGCATGCTCAATAATATGTATTGTGCGACTATGCATGGTGTGACTGTGGAGTGTAAAAAAACGGGTTCAAAAAATCATCGGCTATAACTAAATCGACTATGATCGGTGAATATTCGGATCTAAATTTACGGTAAGAGAAAATAAAACGAGACATTTTAGGAATAAAAACAACTTGAAAGTGCCGCGCCGGAAATCCCACGGTCGACATTATCATCGTCACTCGCTACGTGGATTGAACATCTGGCATTTACGCAACGACGTAAAGCGTGTTTTGTCCTCACGCACGCACTTTTCGCTCTAGTTGCAGTGACGCAGGGAGGGGATACACCCATCCGAAGTTAGATATTTATTTGCGTCGTTACAGATCACAGAAAATATGCAAAATATGACCCAATTTAGTAGAGATATAAACGATTAAAAATTTCATCCTAAGTTACCTGCTGTTACGGTATTACTGTTAATAGCGAGCATGCAAACTCTAACTACATCATAAAAATATTAATTAAAAATGAATCTGAAATTTAGCAGAAAGTATGATCTGAAGCTTACCCCAGCAGTTTGTGCAAGTCTGTTCAAATGCAATTGTCCTGGGGGTAAATTAAAGTTGGGCACACCTTCTGGCCACATTCCTCCCCCTGGTCCACCAACATTGCCAGGTCTTTGCATGGTACACTATTTACAATGGCCTAAACAGAGTTCGAGACTGCGTTTACATTGCATAAAGACTGAACTGAAGCAGCAATCCAAGTATAAAAAAAGTAAGCCATAATCGCATTTGAACCGATAGAATAAACAAATATTCACAACATAACCATGTTGGATAAAAAATAGATAGCTACATACCTGAAATAATATGGCAAACGCTGGATCAAAAATGATATTAAAAACTAAGACATCGTCCAGGTACCCGTCATTGTTGTTCCTTCGCCGAAATGAATTGTGGGTAATTCCGTCGCACGTGACGAATGAGAACAACAAACACGTGTGCCGCGAATGGGCTCAACGCAAATCTTGCAGTAACGCGAATTCTCGCCAAAGAGTTACATGCTTTTTGAAGGATAACAAATTAGTTTTACGTGTTCTATAATGCCAATAATTACTTTTTAATAACGTAAACCAGCTGGAATTAAGATTTCAAAGAAATGCGGACCAACGGTACACGTGCAACAAGTACCGGTAGCGTTTTTCAAATCGTGGGTGGGCAGACTGGAAATTCCGCAGTCCTCCCTATTAGACAAAACTTGCGGCGTAGTGTGAATCGTTGTAACTGCAATATCTTAACCTTCTAAGTTATTATTTTCCAAACTTCTTACATCCTAGTCTTGCCTCAAGTTCATTACCAGCTCACTGGTGTCCGGAGTCTCTTTTTTGTAACGGGTTTTGTTTTTAGACATTAATCTTTTTAATTACATACATTTGTTGGACTTCTTTCTATTCTACCTGTATCAAAATTGGACTTTTATCACGGGCGTCGCTGCTTGATAACCAACATTGTTTTTTTCGTGGCATCCTTCATCCTGGAATGCCATTTTCATTCCTAGTTTTTGTTTGCATCAAAAGTATGTTCATTTTGGTGAAAAATAAACTACCGACAGACTGACCAACACCCTCCAAAACTGGAGAGCTCTCATAAAAAAACTTAAATGTGAAGACGAAGCAAACTCAATTTAGCAATATTTCCTAAATATATGTGAAGCTTGCATCACCTGGAGAAACGACTGATGTGCATACAGAATTCTACTCTGGTTGCCAAATGCTGACACAATCGATCACAGAAACATTGCAGGATTACTTAGCTCTCTATAATCATAAATACCACAAAAAAAAATGAAATCATAACATCCGGCCATGTCGTGTAAGATATACCATTTTATCTCATGAGTATAGGAGAAAAGGATGCTAAGGCAAGACATCCCAGTGACTGTCACAATCTTGATGAAACTTATATAAAAAAATCATCAAATGCTACAAAAAGATCATTTCACAGTGCTGAATCAAGATAATGATAAAATTTTAGCTTACGGTATGGATTAATATCAATCAATAGCGATAGGATCATGAGTGGGCACTTCATAAGACTGTTCCAACATACAAAAACAATTATACTGGGAAAATATATGTTGTAAAAGAGGAAGGTATGACAAAATACCCACATATTCAACAAATACATAAAAAAGGTGGCAGTAATGCCGGCCAACAAGACATATCAAACAAAGTTACTGTTTTAGCAGAAGCAATTTCAAATAAAGCCAAGAAAAAAATTGAAGTTTTATAACAAAATTATACTGAAAAATTTAAATTACAGAAACAAATGCCTCTGAACAAGGATTGCATGAAATCACTCCATGACAACTATTAAATTTCTGTGAAATTTCAATATTTTATTGGTTCACACACTGTATCACATTGAATTACCTATCTGTTATAGACGTAATTCAACATTGAAATCACTGACTTCTATTTTATCATTGTGTCATCAAAACTAAACACTACATTTTGAAAAATTCATACTTCTAATAGTTTTGCATGAAAACCTTTCGTGTAACCTCTTATTGGTTTCAGGCATATTGTTTATAGATAAATTGAATTTGTTATGTTACGCAATGAAGTGGATATATGATTATAGGTAAATGGTTTAATTAGCTATGTTTTGCTTCGGGTATAATTTAAAATTCATGCAGAGGGTTTTCTACCAAAAGATTCCAAATCTATATAAAAATGCATAACAATCTTTCAATACAATTAAAAACCAATTTTGAAAAGAAAGTCAACAAACGAAAGAATCCCGTATGTTATAAATGTAATATAACACGACGAACAAAATAATTAGAAACTTTTGATAGATATCCAAATATTTCAAAATCCCAGAGTTGAATATACAAGAATGAAAGAGAGTAACCAATATGTATGTTGAATGATATAAAGTACACATCACCTCGATGAATCACAAACAAAGACTATTTCCAAGATAGTGGGGATCAATGACATGGAAATCAGGTAAGTGCAGGGTGGAAAATGCTTTGCTTGTTTGTATGTTAAAATCACGATATAATATATATTTTGTATCTTTCCAAAGTACTTTTGTATCATGTTAGATTATGTTTGCATTGTAAAGGTTTGTACCGACGGACTGCTGCATATTTGCATAATAAGTTCATATTCTTCTTCTTTCAAATCTCCTCCACTTAATTGTAGGCAGAGACCTTCTGAAGCGCTGTACAATCTACCGGTTGTCTCACCATGTTTTGAGAAGTTATCCTGGAAATACTAAAACAAAATCTTCTAATTTGACAAAAATATCATGGAAGGCCCAAGTTGATGTAAGATGTGAAGAATAAAAGATGAATGTTGCAAATAAATAAGGTTTCATTGCAGGTGTCACAAAAGTATAAACCATGATTCGAAAAAAATTGCACCTAAATCAATCCAAAGAGTAGATAGAATAATATATAATACAACCAGATGTATCGATAATGTAAAAGGATCGGTGCAAATCCAAATCTAATAAGCAATAATAGAAGTATGGTAAGAACAATGCCGTCACAAAACAACACATAGTTCCAAATTATGAAGGTGGCACGAAAATGTGATCGAGTTTAAATTACACAAGAATCAAAGCGCATGCTGCCTAAAAATGAAGCATAAATTGCGATGTCCTACTTGACAATAATCACCAATGTGCCCTAATTATGAGGCTATATATATCAATGAATAAACGCTATGAATAACACATGTTGATGATTAATATTCTATGAAATAAAAAACTGACGAACTCTAGGAAAGAAACTCCAACTCTGCGTTCCTTCCTCTCCGTTGCATTTCATTAACCTCGGGTTTTCAGAACTTCCAGCATCCATACATAATCTTGATTCACTTCCAAATTTTATTTCACCTGAATAGATTACATCAATAACTATCAAGACAGAAATCATAAGGGCTGCCTATGATATCTATGCATAGTTTGTTAATGACACAAGACAAGGTTGAACTTTATTATATTCCTGAATAACTTTTTTCCAATGATTTGGTACCAGTCAATCCAGGTTGGCCAATCGCCTTTTCAAAGTAAGTTCAAATTCTTTCAACACTACATACCCATTCCTGACATTCTCCATAACTGAGATGAAGAAGTTGGATCACATTTTGTCGCAACTATTAGCGATCCTTTCTCCTCATCGCTTTGGAGACATAAATCAAGATCAGTGACTTTAATGTGGCCTCGCTTGATATTTTTCCATTCGTCCATTGATGTAGGCCGATAGTATTTGATTTTGCTCTTTCTTATACCGGGTATTTCTATCTCAGGGTATATATTATTGAGATACCTAAACAAACGTGAAAAAAATGCAGTTTGAGAAGAATAATTCAAATTCTTATTATGATGATGATAATTTCCATTTTTGCTTGACTTACAGAAAAAGTAAATTTTTTAGTGAACCTTTGCCTGTATCGAACCTACCTGGGTGGTATATGGAGTTTTTCTTTTAGTTTACCATGCTTGGTTGTAATTTAATGTGGAGATCAACAAAATTAGAAATTACCAGTCAAAGTCGTGGCATTTTAAATCCTTCCTCAATTTCACTCGTGAAGAAATATCACCATAATCCAGTGTTTTTGCTGTTGTTCTCTTCTCAAGGAAATTTGTTTTGTGATTATCGAGCCAAACTGCTGCGACACGAGCAGCGTTTCTTGTCGGATTATCAACCTGCCAACGAAGAAGACAACAAGTTAGCATCAACGACTATTCTTTATTTCCTCACAAATGCATCAGAAAATCAAGCTCACTGGAATCAGGCTAGTTTTTAAATGTCTTACTTCTTGTATAGAGTTTGGACGTCGTCTTCGAAATATATGTCCAACTCTAGAACAGGGAGCTATTAATAATCTTCCACCACACATCCATAACCGAAACGACAATTCCAGATTTTCTCCTATTAAAAATGAAAATTCATTGTCATAAAATAGCAATTATATTAGTGAGCTTATGTTAAGTCATCATAGTCTAACTTCAGACCAATCAAGATTAAGATATGCATTACAACTTTTTCTAACTATCTCGTGGAAAAATACTAGGTATGTTACTCTCATTTTTTAATACTATCTTGTTAAATCATCCTTGTTACAACAGACACAAGTCATGTGGATCCAAAATAGAAGTAAACAAAGTGACCTGCAGTTCAATACACAATATTCTAGTACCATATTCATGATCATTAATATGATCAAGTTTCAATCAATCTTTTCAGAAAAGAGCGTCATTGTGAATATATGAATCTAATTGAGATGCTGTAACCACTGTTTCTATTCAAGATCATTCCAAAACAAGATTCAAACCGGAGACAACATTTAACAACCAGTGCAATAGCCAAGGCTGTTGTTTTACTTAGCCAAGTATTTACAAAACAATAAAATAAAAGAAATTTTCGATGACCATATTGATAACAAACAACTATATTGTTTTATTATACTAAAATAATACTTTGCGTATCTTACAAATGGCACTTTGTGGCATATAGGGCACTTAAGAATACACTTCAGATAAAACTCAATCTATTTGCTCAGGAAGAATATGAAGATTTCATTTCTCATGACAGCAATTCACCACATTACACAAAGCTTACCTCCCCATTCTTTCATATCTTCATCATAATAACCAATCTCTTTAAAATACATTCTATTAATTGCAAACAATCCTCCAGCCATGGTAGGGGAAGCAAAGGGCTCTGATGGATCCTGTGTATGAAATCAAAATACATGGCATTAGCAGTTATTATTGTACAAGAAACAGATGTGCATTAAAATCTGGCTATTCAGGTGAAAAACTTCGGGTCATGCATAATGTGGACAAGCAATTTTTGTTTTGATCAGTCTGAAATTTTGATCAGTCTGAAATTTTGACATCTCTAATAAAAGACTTATTTCTCGTCGTTCAAACACAATAGCAACACCATTAAGGTATCATCACAAGTTTTTTTTAGTCTTTTTGCAGGTGTCGATGATACAGAGAGATATCGAAATTTGTTTTTTCAAAGGCAGCCTTCGAATGAAAATTTTCGAGTGATCGATTTCAATTTTGTCGTCTGTAGTAAACAAAGTAGTGATACTGACGATTTGTCTATTTCAGTGTGTTGTACCAAAACCCATTTTAAACGGGCTGTGAATGCCAATTTAGATAGAAACCAGACGCGAGTTATCAATCCAAATTATTTAAAGTAATAAACACAGCTTGATATTCGCTCTGATATAAGACGCCTTATACAGTCTACCGTTTACGCAAAAAATACTATTCAGGTGTCATTTGGAAGAATTTCGTAGTCTCTCTGTGTTGGGTTTTTTGTTAGATTGATAGCTAGCTTTCTCACATTGGGGCTCAGTCAATAAAAATGTGAAATTTTTTTTTAGTTAATGTTTTATTTAAACGATTTGCCTATTTGGATCAAATATTAACATGTTCTAGCACAGTGGTTCCCAAACTTTTTCAAAAAAATTGTCTGACGGACCCCTTGCAATTTTGTTTTTGTTTCGCGGCCCTGTGCACTAATTGACTAAAATAAAACATTATCAAAGAAAGACAGAAAGATATCACATAAAACAAGATCGCAACAAAAATAAATGGTCCACACGGTGTAGTGCAAAACATATCTTCACCTGCGTTTATCACGATAAAATTACATACGATTATCTCAATTTTAATTTTAGAAGACATTTTGAAATTGATAATACAGAGTTGAGAACGTAAAAATATATGCCTACCGTTACCGTGTGTCAAAGACTAAATTTGACATCTAAAAACTAAAACGTAGTGCCTTTCTGACTGCGCTATATTTAACGCTATCCACCTTTCAAAACAAAAGCGTAAATCAGCATTTAGAAACGGAGTGGCATACTTTATCAACTACCTACTGTAATTCTCTCCTATAACAACAAGCATGCAAAAAGGCAGCGCCATCTACACCTCCAAGTGCAGTTTTAAGTATTTAGCGGGATTTTCAAGCATATGTAGCAAGATGTCGTACGACCTGAACCCTAACCGGTACACAATACCATGTTCAGGTTATGCGCCATCTTGGTGCACATAGATTACTTCTGGAGCTCCGGTTAAACCACGGCGACTGACTTTTTAGCTGCCCCAAACCGGTACCACGGCAGCAAATTAAAAAATCATGTCGGGTAAAATTTTGATGCCGTAACCAAGGCATGCCGGATGTATTGGCAGGGCTGCCCCTGTTGGTGACAAACAATGAGTAGGTTGGTACTTTTTTTGGTATATTAAACAAAAATATGGCGCATGACTTTGTTAATATGCCGATAATACTGATTACTAAATTATAGCGCCATTAAACCATGGCATGAGACGCGGCGGTTTGTTCGTGGCAGGAGCTGCCATAACTTTGTGACGTCACAATCGGGAAAGCCTAATCGAAACAAAAAGTGAAGAATCAGTGTCCTCAGCAGAGATTGTAAAGCATCATAATGCGATAAATGTGTCTTTCCAAATTTAAGCAGTTAATTTTTGCATTATCAAACTTTGAGCCATCCAACAGATTTCTTTCGCGGACCCTCGAAAAGTACTTCACGGACCCCAAAAGGTCCGCGGACCCTAGTTTGGGAACCACTGTTCTAGCAGATATTGAATATAACCATAATGCTCTCACAACCATTCTCTTTAAAATTTTGAGGTAAAAACATGAACACCCAAATGAAATGAAAACATTTAAATTTGTTACCATCTATATAGAGTGATTGCTTTGATTTAGAAATATTTAGTATATTTTCAATCTGAAAATGCATTATCTTGAGCTATTGACGATTGGAAAACATAATTTTATTAAACTTTCAATAACTGTAGAAAATAGGAAGATCAGAACAATTCTAACGTTCAATTTATTGCACCATAATGTCCAATCCCTGCTAATTGACAAATTAAAAATTGTACACATCCTGTGTTGAACACAGTTCAATTTAGAACCTATTCAATAATCCATATCAAAAACGTTATTTCAGAATGTATTCAAAATAGTAAATTATTAAATTTTATCAATTCTTGGGTAGAAATATGGTAACATTAAATAAACATAATACTCACTTCAACCATATAGGGTAAATCTTCCCAAGAAAAATGTAGACCCCAGTTGAAACCACCGCGTAAAACAGGTGATGCGATATATGACATCGTCATGGAATTAATAATATCTACTACAGGACAGACAACAGTGGATCTAAAAATAAGGACAGGCTGCAGCATTAGATTTGGGATTATGAGACAAAAATCATTGAAATATAGATTACGCGTAATCATAAATATCAATAGATTTTCACATCATTGTGAGATATTTTAAAAATACCTAGTTTTGGTCATGCTTAGTCATAAATTTACATGAAATGTTGAAATTTGAACAAGTTACTGAAGAAAACTTGTTAGGGGCAGTCGAATATTTTTTTTTCGGATTGTATTATTCTAATGAATGACATATATTCCAAGCCAAGCGCTAACTCCTAAATAATAAATTCCCTTATTACAGTATACTTCAATACCTTTTTGTGACATCGCGACAAAATGGTGGTGTCACAAAAAATATTATGAATTGAAGTAGGTAAGTACGTCAACGACATCACATGTACAAAAAAAATTCTAGGTAATGACGTTGCCCTCAATCTTGCCTTGTGCTTATTTCACAGATAAAAAACACATCATCACGGCCGCACATTTAGTCTATGACGGCCGCTGGTTGTGCACCCCTGCCATAGAACTATTAGGGTGGCAAACATCCGGTTTCAGAAAAAAGATCAGTAATGACTTGTAGATATCTGGTTAGTACTTTCACCTTAAATATAACACACCTTAGATGAAGTGATAACATTGATATAGTGTATCGGAAACTAAAAAAATATTTGATACACAGTATTTGGGATAATATAGATTCCTATGCATATACATGAATAATATTTACCGTAAACTGAATTAATATTTTCCTACACATACCTGTTCATTTGCACAATGTCCAATAATGGCTCAATCCAACCAACATTGGGTTCACAGTGAGAATCCAGGAACACCAGCACATCACCTAGAAATAAGACAATATTTTAGGTACTATTTTTTTTTTGAATTGTTTTGATTACAAAAATAATGCAGAAAAAGATGTAACCACAATTTACATGGCAATGTATCACTTTTGGACTGGTCATGATAGAATTTCCTTTAACTTTTTCAATTGTTGGTATAGACCAGGGGTGAGCAAGGTTTTTGGACCAGGGGCCGAAAAGTTTGCCCCCTGGACTGGCGAGCCATGCAAGTGTGCCGTAGTAAAAGTTACATTTTATGAACAGAATTTTATTTAGTGTTACAAAAGCAAAAGTGGAAAACAATAAGCAAAAACTGAATTTAATCACAATCTCAACAAATTCTTTGAGCTATTTTTAGCTAAAACATCAAAATTTGGTTTTAGTTTGGTTGTGGCATCGGGCGGGCCAGATTGAATTACCTAACGGGCCGGATTTGGCCCGCGGGCCGTAGTTTGCCCAAGTTTGGTATAAGACAGTCATTTATTCATATAACATAGAGACAAGAATGTCAAAGCAAGGATCTTAGAGCAAAAGCAATTTACTTCCTATTATGTGTGCAACTCGTGGTGATAATAATGACAGTCACGCTCCAGGAAAACTGAATAGAATGTTGGCTTCATGCTGATCACAATATTGAATCTCTCTATAGTTCGTCAGTTATCAGACAGTCGCATGAAGCAAAACTATCAAAACCATTTTTATATGGAAATAAGTAATAAGTGTTTCTCAAACGAACAACGAATCAAAACTCATTTTCAAATACTAATGATAAAAATAGGTGAACGTTAAAAAAAAATTCTTGGGACTTAGGAGAAATACAATTTAATCAAATTTGAATTAATAATTCAATATCCAATTGTCTCCCAAATCTCCTAAAATGAAATATAAGAATACAAGGCCATAATAAGATGCGGTAATGCATTATATATATATATTCCATATTCATCCTTACCACTGGCCTCTTTTGCTCCCATCAGCCTTGCTCCAATCAGTCCCAACCTTGCTTCTGCATGGATAACTCTTACTTTACCATATGGGTAGTGTTGTTCCAAATATGAAACAAGCTTTTCATTTTCTTCTTCTGCAAAGAAAATACAATTGTGATTGAAGCGCATATGAACGAAAAATCGCTTTATCCACTTCAGAGTTGTCATTAGATCAAATTTGAAGAAACATTTGACACTGGTTTTTATGTATCTCATGTATGGGGAGCACATCGTATATTATCCTTTGAAATCAAGGCAGTTTCAGTACTCATGTATTGTGTGTAACAGGACATATCGGGCCATAATTTTATTCCGATTTTCCTTATTTTAGTTCTATTACAAGTTCAGGGACTGTGTGCGTTACCCAAGAGAATATATCCCCAGCCCATAGGTTTTAGTCGCTTTACACAACTCGATGTTAACTAGGCGAACAAAATTAGTCACCTCCATATTCGTACACACACTTCTAGAGCACCGTAGTTTCAGTATGAAGCTTTGATAAATAAAAAACATTGTTTCTAGTAGAGATGCCGCATACATAACAGTATTGACTAGTTTTATTAAAGGATCTACAACTACAAACCATCAAAATGCTCCATTACACCGAAAAAAATTGTGCTGAACCAACACATTCAAAGTTTCCAAACAAACGTTCGGCTTTTTGAAATAAGAAAGGAAAGGATATAAAAAAAAAATTGTCTGTGATAAATTATTAAGTAATCAAACCGTTATCACTAAAGTCATCAACCAATATTAACTCTTGCAAAAGTTGTGGTGGAGTTCTTTCAATCACAGATGCAACAGTACGAACTAATGCTGAGAATGCTTCTTTATGAAAACAAACAATAACTGATGCTGAGACACTGATATTGGAGTATGATTTCTTATGACATCTAGAATAGAAACAAAAACAGATATATATAAAAAGTAAAATTTGTTTGATCAGGATTACATTTCCAAAGAATATAATTATAGGTTATCTATATCCTGATTCATTTCAAATTTGAGTAAACATGGTGATTCATCTTAATTCCAACTATGTTTATGCCTCTGGACATTATAATAAAAGCAGTATTTAGACAGACATAATGGAATACCAATACGAAAAGATCGAATAGCCCATCTGCCCATGGATTTCGTTTTGAAGTTTTGTCAAATAAAATATGAATTTAGTGAATGATATCATCACAACACATTTACCATAACGAATATCCACATTTTATTAAACAAATAGCTGTTTAGCAAAAAAGTGGATTTTCAGATTTTCCAGGAACATTATTATCACATTTCATATAAAATGTCTGAACTCCAAAACTAGCAGTTTTGTGGACATTATAAAAACAATAGTACAAATAGAAATCTGCACAACAATTTTTGTAATAAAATGAATTTTCAAGTGCACTGTAAACTTTTGCCGAATACAATTTCACGTTAGAAACACATAAATTCAAACTCATTGTAATACTAACATTTCATGTCTTGTATCAGGAACAGGTCTTGCAACAGGACCAATCCGATCACTTATCAACACATTGAATGCATGTTTGATTTGTTGTTGCTTGTGATACTGACGTTGACTGTCTGACAATACCTCTCCTTGAATTAAAAGTAAGCATTTTAAAGATATTTTCCATGCCTTTTACTCTGAACAAGGCTGTGTACAAGCAGCCACTAATATGTGAGGGCTGAAACAATTCACTCGAGTAAGTATCTACATTCCAGATTATATCAATTTTAACCTATCAACTAGTTGGATTTTCTATACAAATTTTAGAAAACAAAATCCTGAGGCCTGAAATCAAAACGGAAAGAGTACCAATAGAAGAGTTGCTTGAAAATGACCACTAATGCATCAGCATGTATATATTTATCTCTGTGACGATGATGCCAGTAGAAGATAGTTGATAATAGGAGGCTCAAAACATTGTCAACTAAAAATCAAGGTGTAATTCCACAATGCAGAAATTCTTAAGCGTGAAAATTGCATCTACAAGTGGAAACTTTTCATTCATTGAAATGAGTGAAGTAGGCATTTTCAATCGTCAAGTTCAGACATATGCACTTACCGATAATTAAAAATGTATTCAATATTTATTATTAATCATTACGAAATTATTACATTAGAAATACCTGCATTTACAGGTAAACCTCCATCAGATGCATATTTCACAGTCTGATTGATCGAAAACTCATTTTGTGGAATGGAAGTTACAAGACGTCGTGTTGGAAAATCATTCAACTCTTCTTCTGGTCTAAACGCTTCGGACAATCTGAAAAAATGAAATTTTCAATTACAGTTCATTGAATAATAAAAAAGTTAGCACTTTTGAATAATTGATGGATTTTATTTGTAATGATCTATCCAATTTTATTTATATATATATACCACCAAAAAACAACATATTCTAGTTAGAACACGACTTTTGTGCGAAGCATTCTAGATTACTAAACCTTTATGGTACAACCATACACAAACAGAAGTCAAAGTATTCCAGTTTTTAAATAAATTTTCCCCATTTCCATAGAATTAAGACATTTATGGATTCTGACTTTTTTGCGTCACTCTGCAATTTATTAGCAAATGTAATTTTCCATAAAAGTATATGTAGAAAAGAATATATCCAGACATATTCATTTAGAAAAAAATATTCTATATATTGAATACAAAAAATTACTTTGCTTTAAGTTGAATCTTGATGGCTGCACTTGATCCATGTAGAGAAAAGACAGTAAGATAAATTGTCACAGTTACAACAAATATCAGCAGAGTAAAGCAGAGTGCGACTTCACGTCGCGTGCCATGCAACATGACATTAAGTAACTTGTACCATAGTAAACTAAGAATAAAAAATAATACATTGCAAGCAGGAAAACTAGATTACTATTGAATAAAGAGTGAACACACATAGTTAAACAATAAAACAAATTATTACACAGACAAAATAAAGTGAGAGAAAAATATACTACTGCAAAACCATCAGCACATAAATGGGAGTGAATTGTTATCATAGCGATATGCGTAAATAAAACTGATTGAAATAAGGTGCAAAACAATCTTTATTATCAACTACCAGTGAGTGAACTTACAATGATTATTAAGCCTTAAAAAATTTCATATTTCTCCATAACAACAGTATGAAGGAAGTTATTATAGACCACATGATTCCACTGAACATATTGTTGCAGTAAAAACAGATTTTGAGGTTTTGAGAAAATCTCATTTCATTTTACTAATAGTTTGGTACTAACAACCACACGCCAAAATAGACATAATGCAATACCAAACCAAACAATGGTCCCTCGTCCACAATGACAGAAAAGGAAAATGCGACGAACGCTACTTTGGTTTTACTGCAACAATATAGCAGTATTTCCCAACCATCTTATGCTCTGGAGAGAAAGACATTTCCATGCCATCACAGTCAAAATCACTAAACCTGATCTGTAGGTGACCAATACATATAGGTACTTTCCAACTATAGATTAGAGCAGACTATGGGGGTTCGGTGTAGTTTCGTACCACAATAACTTCTAGTGGGCGTGGCGCAACAATTTTTCCATACGTCATTCCTAACCCCCACTTGACTACGTCATCCAAAAATTGTGTCACTATGACGTCACAGTGACGTAATAAAGCCCGCCAAAATATACAAATAGTCCTCCCAAAACATGCAGCTGCTTAAACGGAGTTGAGCAAGCTCTTTCTCTCGTTGCAACGATCCCAATATGGGAGAGATCGCTGACGGTAGTGAGTTCGTTATCTTCTGCATAGATGCCGTTTCGGGTAATCGTAGCTATGCTTTGGCAAGCTATATGATGTGACTGTGATGTCGTGGTGACATGATTTTTGGAAGGCGTAGTCATGTGGGGGTTTGGAATAACATATGCAAAAATGATTATGTCAAGCCCGCGAGAAATATGTGTGTTACTAAACTACACTAGAACCACTATGGGTAGGATTATTAAAAATAAACAGAACATTGATTAAATGCGTTAAAATTAGGTTGTTACAAATAGGTAATCAATCAGTGCTTTAGTAGACACATTTTACTCTGCAGACTCTGGTTGGGAAAAATGTGGTAGGCCTACAGTAATAGATGTTTCTTCACTAGATTGTAGATATTGTTAGTTGAGAACATCGTTATGAACAAATATCAAATTGAAGTGCTTATCAGAAAATTTTTGAAATATGATTTGAGTTTTCAAGAATCATGTAGGAACTTATTGAAAGCATTATATGCTGACTCCATATCAAAGACCATTTGTCTGACTTGGCTCTCTTCTAATTCATCAGATGCCGCCATAGAATTGAATGTTGTCAACCATTTTTCAACTTTAGCCTTCCCTTCAAAATTAGATGGTAGCGTGCTCATTCTATGCATACTGTCTGCAAGATCTTTCAAATCAGGATGTATTTCATCCATCGCTTTTATTTCAAGTCGTAGTTTATCCATAACCGTGATGAATAGTGATACAATATCAGCGATACATTTACTCGTGTTGCCTTTATCATCTTTCATAGTGATGGGTCGATCCTCTTTGATTCTTTCCAAAGCTGCGGGACAATCCTCTAGCTTGTACTGTTTTACAAATTCATCCAAAGTAGGAAACTCCGATTGAACTTGTTTGAAGGCAGCTTTGTATTGTACCAGTAATCTTGAACATGCTCCAGTATATTCTTTCGCAGTGATTGAGTCTTTAATATAAGCCTTTTCAAGTGCTTGTAGGGTCTTTACAATAGAATAAAGCTCTGATAAATTATCAAAGTATTCACGTTCCCTTGCAGTGCTATATAATTTGACTTCTTGATACAGTTCAGGTCTGCCTGCCATTTTCTTGTATCCAAAATTTGGTGTATAATTAATATTTTATGATTCTGGATAATATTAATGAATAAACATATCATTACATTTAATCATATCTGCATATGACAGCATCTTGAAAGTTTTTGCAAATCTACCTCCCGAATTTAATCGTACTCGAGTGCTTTCATGATTTCTGTAGATAGGTGCATTTTAATAATATTCCAATTTATGATTGTGTTCCGGTAGCTTCATTTGTTTAACTGTTTTGTTATTTTGAAACAAGTCAGGGCAGTAAGGAGACTATTATATAATGATTAATTTCTATCTCTCAATGAGAAAATAGGATTGATTCATTCCAGGATTCAAAGGTCTGGTGAGAAATGAACTAGACCAGTGGTTCCCAAACTGTGGTGAAGATTTTCCGGGGTCCCCGAGGTTATCGAATATACAAAGCAAAGTTGCTTTATTTGGCAATTGGCTCTTATTAATTAGGTGTCTGACAAGTATGGTATCGATTGCCAGACGGCGTCTTGGCCGAGTATATCACACTTTAGTTTTCGATTAGTCGTAAAAGTGCCTTGTTGATTCGCTCACGTGTCCGAAATCTACGAGAAGACTATGTGTTTTTGTCCGCATCGCCTCCACATAAAAGTGAACATTTTTGTATAGCAATATTAATATTTTTTTGTCGTTTCATACATACAGACATAATTTCAAAGCTTTCCGAGCAGTCAAATTCAAAACCACAAGTTTTAGCATAATGTTAAAAGGTGTAGCAATTTGATGATGTGAATCCCTACCCGTTTTTTTCTATCTCACTTTCAAGATCGGTTTTACTTTCGAAATAATATTTGAGCAATCTGTAATGCGTTAACACTGAAGTGAAAATATTTAAGACACTGTTGAAATATACTAAATATGATTTTGAATTTATGTATATTCAGAAGCAATCTTATTATTTCCTAAGTATCATCGAACGCTTACTTACAATCCACCACATTTTATCAAGTCTGTCTGTTTCGCCAAACAACCCCTTTAATTCGGATCTAAAAGATTTTTACACCGTGATTTTCATATGGTGGCATTAGTTATCAAATCTTTGGAGGTTTTTCCGGCGCTTTGCCGGACTTGTCCATATATTTTTTGGGCGAATGTCCACCGTCAACGTCCACTTGCAGTCGAGATAGGTACATTGTTCCCATTGAGGTAATTAACCCTGCTAAAACGCTTAAACTGATACACTGATTTTTGAAGTTGCTGAACGTTTCTAGTTGTGGGGTCGCGAGTATCTGTAGGCTTTGATTTTATTGAAAATTGGGGTGGCGAAAAAAAAGTGGGAACCACTGAACTAAACTATGTGTAAACTCAATATAAATATTTGAAATATTAGTAAAACATCTAGTCTAGAGTAATTCAGTAATTGGGCAAAATTCGGACCTCCAGAAGTATGTGCAACAAAATGGCGCACAACCTGAACATACGGTAATATGTGTACCAGGTTGGGTTCAGGTTGTGCGCCATCTTGGTGCACATACTTCGGGAGCGCCCAAAATTCAATATTATTTAGTAAAAATCTACTCAATTAATTACAAGTCATAAAGTGAATAGGTTTATCTAATCTCAAACATTTTGAACAATTCATTATGATCAATTACTGAATTCGGAAATTACAGAATTATGTATCACTTGTTATCGGGCATACCGTAATACTGTAACATGTTTAATCTCTATTTTTCTAGTTTGACAAATTTTCCCTCGCCTTATCACTGTATTAAAGTATTACCACCTATTGTTGTACTGACTGACCTACAGGCAGACAGGCTACATACAGCCTGTACAGTATTAACTCTAGCCACTGTCATCTCACGCTCACGGCAGGAGCATCACCTGTCCTAAAACATGAGTTAGCCGTTATAACTGTATGAAGAGTTAGCCGCCAGTCCGATACTTCGGGGCGAAGTATGCGATTTTCAGTGGTGTTTAGCTGTTTACGGCAAGTTTGTAGCATACTTTCTCGATTATTTTTTTCTAGGCCAGGATTCTAGTGTTGAAATGCAAAATATATCAGAATTTGAAGTTAATCCAATTGGGAGAACATATGATAACAAAATAGCGACCCTCAAATATGTGGACACGAAGAGCAAAACAAAATATTTTATCATCAAACCTCGGAAAATCATGCGGTACCATACGGTAACTTGCCTTAACGTACCTGGGGCTGTAAGACTGATATTCGATCGCGGAACTGCTTGAAATAAGTTAATAGAGTTCCCATGAGTAAAAAAATACAGCGAAATTTTGTGTGAAATATCAAATCTCGTGGGATTTATAGAAAATTCAGGAATAAATAAAAATAATATCGAGAGGCCGTGGTTCGCCATATGGATAAGCCGTCTTATCGGCTTTCCTCTCCCTCGGGATAAATATGTAAATCCTGTAAATCCTATTCTTCTAGCGAAAAATCAGTTTTTAGCCACTGAAAATTTTAAAGCAATTTGTTCAGTAACAAAGAGAAAAGCGATTTTGTATAACGATAAATTCTATGTCAAAGAACAACAACAACATAATAACAAAACGATCCATAGGTCCACAACGTGTCCAACGCAAACAACATAATAATAACAAAACGATTCATAGGTCCACTACGCATCCAACAAGAACAACAACATAATAACAAAACGATCCATGGGTCCACTACGTGTCCAAAAACATTTCGGGGTGTTATTAAGCCAACCAGTAAGTTAGTAACTGTGGTATAGGTGTCGCTGCTTGAAGGGCCAAGAAGTCCCTCGAGACTCCTGTCGCACAATTAACGTTAATACCTAATACGGGAGTATATTTTTCTGCATTACATTAGTGACAGGATTTGATTATTTGTTGTTATTAAACACGGAATGAACCTATTTATCGTTTTGTTATTATGTTGTTGTTGTTCTTCTTGGTATTTTTTTTTCTTATCGTTATGACAAAATTGCTTTTCTCTTTAACTACTGGACCTATAGTTTAGAAATTTTCAGTAGTTGAATATTGTATATTTATATATTTTCGCTAGAAGGCTATTACTTTTCTCTATTTCAAATATTTCTGTGAGCTCTATGGGATTCGCTTTGTGTGTTATGACGCCATCAAAATTTCGTACCTTTTGGCGATTCCGCGAAAGCATATCAGAGTTGCTCGTGTTCAGCGAAAGGCAGTGAATTTCGTGCTTAGCAAAAGTGGGAAGTATTTTATTGGGAACGGTAGACTGAGGTACCTGATCTGCTAATACAAAAGTGACTCGGATCAGTTGGTATTTCAATTCACGTTGAAACTGAATCATGAAGAATGGATCATCGTATCAGGACCATTGTCCGCCTCCCGATGCGGATGCTGCATATGATTTTCAGGAAATTGATGATAAAATATTTACCCAGTTACTGGTACGGTAAGTTACGGTACCGCATATAATTTTCGGGATATTGCTGATAAAATATTCAGTTTTGCCCTCCGTGTCCACATATTTAAGCATAGCTCTCTCGTAATCAAAATATACAACCACGTGCGCTTACAAATACTGATAGCTAATTTTAGCATAGTCCATCGCAGGTTTTCCAGGGCTAATTTTTATTTATTGCAGCTAAACTAAAGCTTATCGTAAGATATAATGACAATCAATGTTTCCCCGAGCATCGATTTCCTTGTTTATTTCGGTAACAATGACTTATCAGCAGAAAGTCAGCGATGATGTACGGCGCTGGTTCGGCAGCAATGTACGGCAGCGGCAAGGGGTAACTGGGCTTTTGGTAATTCGATTGAGGGGTAACCAGTATGTTCCACAGCTTTTCTTTTTAGGGGGGGTGTTTCAAAATTTAGGGGGTGGTAAATAATTTGCTGTTAGAGATAAAACTAGGATGTTTGTATTCTTAAAAAAACGGTATGTATTTAAGAAACGATGTAGGCTACATGGGGGCCCGCCAAGTTGATTGACGCGAGCCAAAATCCACAGCAGAATGTAATTGTAGGGCCAAAAAAGGGGAGCGAGGAAAAGTGCGGGACGACACGGCTGGGGTTCAGGGCGCGCTCAAGCGTCCTGAAAAATTTTTGAGAAATAGGCACCAAAATAGGCTCTAAGCTTGATTTTAGATACACCTAGCATAGCAGTTTGTTATGTGATGAAATCAATAAATATAATATTTAGCTGATAGAATTCCCGGGGGATAGATAACAAGCACGGCTTTCAACCGTAAATATATCCCAGATAGCACAACTACGTCGGAACAACCATGGCCGAACGTTGTTCGAACCACCGGCCCAATAATGGCGAACAACCATGTTCCAGCGAAGATTTGGCCGCTGGGCCAACGTCGGTCCTTTCGCTGTAATGCAACCGTGGCAAACGGTCGGGCCAACGTAGGCGATACGTTGTAACACAATCGTGAAATATGGCCGGTCCAATGTGGGCGATACGTTGTAACACAATCGTGACTTATGACCGGGCCTACGTAGGCGACACGTTGTAATACAATCGTGGCATATGGTCGGGCCAAGTTAGGCGATGTGTTGTACAGACAGGGTATGGATCTATACTACATAGAAATTTCCCACTAATCTAACATTATTTATATAATAAAATACAAAAGATAACAAAATGTCTTTATTTTACAAATATGTATACATGTAATAAAATTAATCGGAGTTCGTTGCCAGATCATCCAGAGCTGAAAAATTTAAAAATTCTGTGTTAAATTGCAGTATTAGCAAATTACAGCACCAGAGTTCAAAGCCTAGTCCGAATGACTGCATCCCAACAAATTTTCAGAGTAGGAATCTTAAGCCAAGATTCTGCAGTCGCAAATGTGTGAGTGAAGCTTACATTGACAAGTCGATAATGATTGAGAAATACAGAAATTCTTGATTCCACAAGGGGGGCATAGACAACGTTTTGAGGGGAATATTTGTTGGAGTGAATAATGATGATTTGAGATTTTATCTGACTAAAATGTCTTGAAATATTCCTTGTTGAAATTCATCTATCTTATTAGAAACATCATGCACCATGATTAGTCTATTTGTTTAATTGATTTACAATAAATTTAGTTGTAACT